CTAACCACTACACCGTACTGTGTTTGGCAGGCACACTTAACACATATGGCTATCCCTGACTATTTTGTGTCAGGGATGGGGAAGCTGGTACCTTCCAGAGGTTGCAGGGATCAGGGATGATGGGAGTTGTACTCCAACATCTGCAGGGCCACAGGTTCCACTAGCTCAGGTTTACATCAACAGATGCCCTGTTCCTAAGAACTGTTGAGTTGTCAGATCCTGAGAAAGAGTGGTCAGAAAGGAGTGGATGGGGAGCACTGCCCACGCCCCTCCCGAAATACTATGCCTCTGGTGCATGGCAACCACACACTCCTTTCTCTCTACCCATAGTTGTGGGGAAGATCCTCCACTTCTTAAGGAAGAGAGAAGAAACTGGTTCCCCTGCCCCTTTCCGTGTTGATGCTTTGTTTAACTCTAACAGAAGTACATTTCTATTACGCTTGCAGCCTCATTAAACGTTTCCGACATGCAGATCAGCCCCTGGCCATTTCTTCGCGGAATGCCACTGCAACGGAGTTCCATTTCCAGGAACCTGGAACAAGTACAGCTTTGTGCTGATGCTCTTTCAGTTTGTTCTTAGGTCACCCGTGGCTGCAAGTCCAGGGATGGTTTTGCTGGCAGGGCAGATGCCAGGTGCGTGAAGAGCCCCCACATTTGCCATGCCAAAGGTTCAAACTCCAGCATCTTGACAATGGCATCTTTGGGGATGCTTTGACTTCAAGGCTTGTGCACGCATTAGCGGTTATGCTGGCCCCAACATGCTCCCAGTTGGGAGCCAAGGATGCACGATGTTAGTCACAATCCATCGGTATCTCTCAGCTTCTTGAGAAAAGCTCCTGTTCTCATGCTGAGCTTCCCAGGTAGACTACAGGGTGTGTGGGGACAATAGGTTTGATTACCTATTTCCTCCCAAGGTAGGAGAAGTGACATAGCTAAGCCTGGCAGGACAGCTTACTCTATGGTATTAACCCCTTCGGGCATTAATTAGACTGGTTATGCCACAGGAACCTTCTTATTAATGATAACTGAAGCTGTGGCTCTGGGAGCCTTTCTTTAGCCAAAAAGCAGGATGAAAATGCTTTAAAAAGAAATAAATAAGAAACTGAACAGGAGGGAAGAAGGATATTAAACTGGCAGTGCCCCAGCCCCTCAAACGGCCTGGCCTCGACTGCTGGGAACTGTAGCTAACCCCTCCCATAGGTACAATTCCCAGTACCCTTAACAATCAAAAGTTCTCATTGTTATTTTTATTATTTAAGAATAAGCCATGTGCTTTAAATGTGTCGTGCAGATGTGCCCATAGTCTAGTAATACTGCAGTACTGCAGGTTCCCATCTCCTGCTCTGCAGTATTTTCTCCCTGTTATTTTCCTTATGATCTGGAGGCGGAACCAGCCATGAATGAATTGGGGACCACTGCTTGTTTCTGGAGAACTGGCTTCCATTCACATGGTTCATTCACTGTTTAGAACTTGAGATTTCTTTATTTTTTCTGAAAGGAGCAGTTGTAGCAGCAGGATGTGTGTGGTTCCAGTAAGAGGGAAACTTGACTGGGAGAAAATGCAGGGCACTGGGCTTAGAGCATCTGCTCTGCCTCCAGAAGGTCCCAGGTTCAATCCCTACTGGAGCCGAAAGAGACCCCAGTCTTAAACCCAGGAGTATCCATCTGATACTAATCTAGATGGAGCAAGAGTCTGACTTGGCAGAAGGTAGATGGCAGACGTCTTTTGTACCTGTGTAGCCTGCTTGGTACACGCCAGCGTGTCCTGCAGCTGTGGCCAGTGCAGTTTCTGCTATTTCTATCATATGAGTAAACAGATGGAGGCCGGTCCTGACTGGGATCATCTGAGCACATGCTTGAAATGCCACTCAGAGCATCCTCCAGCTCAGGCTGCTCTCGCTGCTGCGTGTGAACTACTGACATTCTCCTAGCAGGTCAGTATCTGTTGAGCTGCGGATGCAAATCAGCCTATGTGGTGCTGTTACGCGATTATGCCTCTCCCGAGGGATTAGTTTTTATATAATGCTTCATGAGATTCCAGCAGGCGATAACTTCGGTTTGTGCTGCGCAAGTGACACTGGAGCCAGAGATAAGATACCCATCAAGACAAGATCTTTGCTTCTGTGTTGGGGCTGCAAGTGCTTTTTCACTCCTTTCCTTTAATCCAGCAGTTTCCAATTTCTGGAGGCTTGTTTTGATGTTACCTTTTAGGCATCTCTGTGCCGGTTTGCATTGTAAGTAGCTGTTTTGTACCACGTTTAATTTTCATATTCAAATCCTATTTTTAATGTGTTTGCAAACCACCTGGATGACTTTGGGCTGTGTGCACATGAACGGCTTAAAATGCAGCAAGGTCATTACTTCCCTTCAATTCGGATTAAAGATGGTTTCAGGGGAAACTCATCAAGATGCGTTTTCCCTCCCTAAGAAATGACAGGATAGGTATGGATTATAGCTAACTTGGTATGCAAGCCGCTTTCCAATCTGGTGGTGAGATCCTGGCACAGGATACTGAGCAAACAAGAGCGTGTGCACAGCCTTAGTCGACAGGTCATAAGAGCAAATGATTATTTATTGCATCTATTTGTGGATTACTGCATAAAACAGGCATAGGCAAACTCGGCCCTCCAGATGTTTTGGGACTACAACTCCCATGATCCCTAGCTAACAGGACCAGTGGTCAGAGATGATGGGAACTGTAGTCCCAAAACATCTGGAGGGCTGAGTTTGCCTATGCCTGGCATAAAATGTCTCATAGTGACTTACGATTATAAAGGTAAACACAATATGCAATTTAAAATACATCGAAAAGTTAGAAGTGTGTTATTGGCTGAAAGTGCTCATCCTGCAATAGCATAGAAAGGACAGATGCTACCCTATATCTAGAAAGATGGACACCAATACAGGCTAGGGTAGCATCATAACATATGGTCCCAACTAAAAGCTACACACCTGGGTGAACAATAGCATCTTTACCTGGCGCCCTAAAGTGCTGGATACAGCAGTCATGCATGGTATGTGGACTGTTTGATCCCTGACCACTGAACAGAGAAGAAATCGAGATAGGGTAGGATTGTCAGACATTTTGGGAAATGATTTACAACGAATTTAAGAAAATGTTTAAATGCTCTTTCCCCCCAAAAACCTGAAGCCTTCCTGCTAGGAATTATGGGTAATGAAATTCCCAAAAAGTTCAAGAGAATCTTTACGTATGTTACAGTTGCTGCCAGAATTTTAATTGCAAAAGGTTGGAAGGGAGAAACTATCCCATCCAAATCAGACTGGCAAAATCATTAAGAGAGTATGCACAATTTGTGAGAATATCAGCAAAGGCTATAAGATGTTACAGATGAAAAATTTACCAGAGATATAGAGAGAGTCTATGTAAAAGAACATTGTCAAAATATCAATCCATTGGCAGGTATCGACTGAGTTTCTGCGTGTGAATAGGACAGTTTTGGAAAAACCAAAAACAAGTTATATAATAGGGAGAAAATAAAGTCAAATGTGTATCCAAGGAATCTAACTCGGGAACATAATGGGAAGATCGGAGGTCATGTTAAATTGAAGTATAGAATGAGGTACAAAACAAGCAGCAATCAAAGAACAAATGAATGTTTATCTTTATTTTGTTGTTATAATCTATTATTTCTGTTACGCAGTTTTGAAACCAATAAAGCATTAGAAAGAGAGGGAGTAGGATTGTGTATATAATGCAGGGTGGGGAACCTTTTCTGGTCCAAGGTCCACATTCCCTGCCAGGCAAGCTTCCCCAGGGCCACATGCCAGTGGTGGGCGGGGCTAGAGGCAAAAAGTGGGTGGAGCAACAGGCGTGACTTACCATTTTACCATTGGTTGCATTCCAGCCATGCAAAAAAACGGAGGTTTGCACCCCCCCCTTTATCCTTCATCTGTCCAGGCAAGCAAGAGGCGTCATCATAGTTTAGAACACATTCCACCCAGGCAAATCCACTTAAAGTGGGTGTACTGCAGGGCCTGGGGAGAATCCCATGGGCCAGATACAGAAGATTCCCAGCCCCCAAATGGGACAGAAAAATAAGGAACATGAAGCTTGCCACTCCATACCCACCAGTCTGCTGCTGGCTCATTCCACCTGCTCTTTTTCCACACTTGGGCAATATCTCAGCTCTCTTACACACACACACACACACACACACACACCACTGCATGAGTGTGAGTCAGACCCATCTCTCCCTGCAGAGGAAGTGGGGCTTTCCATCTGTAGCTATCCTTGAGCAGATGTTAGATCCAAGGATCTTTGAGCTGAAAATCAAATACAAAAAAGTGAGACCTCCAGGTATAGTGTGATAATAATAATAATAATAATAATAATAATAATAATAATAATTGTAATGATTTAATTAGGTACTTAGGTTTGGTGCCTGCTGTTTGCTGTCGTCAAAACTTCTTGTTTTTCTGTCTGGATCTATTTCCCCCCTTCATGTTTAGTTATATCAATAATGTTGTGGTTACATAAAAGGAAAGAAGTTTCAATCAGCAGGGAAATAGTAATGGGAAGAGGCAAGTGTTTCTGTAGCATTCTTTGAGACAGGATAGTTCATCCATCTTTGCTGACTGTCTGGAATATCCTAGAAAAAAGTTCTCCAAAAGTGTCTCTAAACCTGTTTTCCTGCCACGTTCTTCTCTCTTTCTCTCAGGGGCTTTGAAGGGACCATATTTTGGCTGTGATCCCCGTGCCAAGGAGCAAAGCTAACTATGAGGGATGCACATTCTCCTTGGTCCATGACTAAATTGATTTGCCTCCCTTGGATGAGCCTGATCTTTCTGGAGGTAAGAGTTTCAAGCCAGCCAGCTCATCGTCTTTACTCACGCAGGCCTTGATGTTGGAGGGTACCTTTTGTCTCATGGACAGTGTCTTCCTGCTCAAAGCCAGGTGATGTGGGCTAGGTTTGGCAGTCTCCTAACATCATAGAATCATAGAATTGTAGAGTTGGAAGGGACCCTAAGGAATATGCATCCGTCCCATACAGAGATCGAACCTGCAACCTTGGTGTTATCAGCACCACGCTCTAATCAACTGAGCTATCTAGGCTGATAAGCATGGAGGCTGGGTGTTAAAGTCTCATAGTGGCAGAGGATGGCACCTAGTAGGTACAGGTAGATCTTGGCTCTGCTTGTGGTCCTTGGAGGTTGTGGTAAAAGAGCCAAGTTTCTAGTCCTCATTATTGCAAAAATATGAATGAAGACTGTGGGCAGTTTGTTGAGCCTCAGCATCAGGAGGAACATTGGCAGTCGTCTCATCCAACCTCCTGCTCAGTGCAGGAATCTGCAAACACAGCAGCCTGAACAGATGGCCAGCCAGCTTCTCAATACTCCAGCCAAGAAGAGCTCACGGCCTTCCCAAGGAACTCTGCTCCACTGCTGAGCAGCTCTTGCTGTTAGCAAGCTTCTTTTCATACTTAGCCAAAATATCATTTAGTGCCATTTCGACCTGCTGTCTCTAGTCCTGCTCTATATCGAGGAACAGAGAACAAGCTGGTCACATTTGCACCATACACATGATGGAGAGCCAGTGTGGTGTAGTGGTTAAGAGCAGTAGTCTCGTAATCTGGTGAACTGGGTTCGAGTCTCCACTCCTCTACATGCAGCAGCTGGGTGCATAGTTGTCAACTTTTCCCTTTTCTTGCGAGGAATCCTATTCGGAATAAGGGAATTTCCCTTTAAAAAAGGGAAACGTTGACAGCTTTGGCTGGGTGACCTTGGGCTAGTCACCCTTCTCTGAAGCCTCCCAGCCCCACTCACCTCACAGAGTGTTTGTTGTGGGGGAGGAAGGGAAAGGAGAATGTTAGCTGCTTTGAGACTCCTTCAGGTAGTGATAAAGTGGGATATCAAATCCAAAACCAAACATATGAAGGACTTTCATACTACTGTAATAGTTATAGTGTCCCCCTCCCTCCCAACGAACATTGGGAGCTGAAGTTTGTTAAGGAGTCTCATAAAAACTTTCAGCATGCTTAACAAACTACAGCTTCCCAGATTCTTTTGGGGGGAAGGCATGTGCTTCAAAAATGCTTTATCCACCTAAAGAAAAAGAATGGATTTTTCGTTGTGAGCAAATGCATTCAAAATTATGGTATGGACAAAAGACTGACAGGAAAATGTGTAATAAGCACGTAAGTCGGGATGAATGCTCAGTGGCATGTAACCTCCACACAAACAAATAAGAAAGAAGGCTCAACAAAGACCAAATGCCATTTAACCTCTGTGTTAGCAAATTAGGACGGATGCGCAGCAAACAGGTGGTCTCAAGAGTCCCTTAGGTTGTCCCCTTAATTCTGTTCCTGTTATGTACTGAGCTGAATCCTAGAACAATAGGATCCAGAATGCAACAGTCTGATTGGTCCGTAGGAGCCACCCAATCCAGCTCTAGGTGGAAGTGAATCAGCAACCTGATTGGCCTGCAGGAGCAGCCCGGAATTAGCCAATCACGCGGGGCCCATTGTGTGAATAATATATAAATAGCTAGACGTTTTGGGGAAAGATTCATTCATTGCTACTATGAGCTGAATAAAGAGCATGAAATTCGCACTCGACTCTGAGTATATTTCAGTTCCCTTTCTCTGAGATTTTACCTCTTTTCCTAGAGGTCCAAAGAGGCAAAGGTCTTGTAATTCCAGACTAAGTACTGGCAACCCTGCTGAGTACCTAGCAGAAAACACAGTAGTGTATCTCTCTTGGGAGATATTTCCAGTTGCAGGGTGGGAACATGCCTCCCTTCCCCTGGATAGAAGGCGTAGATAAGAGGGAAATGGTGCATCGTGCAGGACCACCAAAAAACAACAGTGCAAGAGGTCCAGTGAATGGATTTTGGACTCCTGACCCTCCCTTGCAATGCTGTGAGTTCACTCACGCCAGTAGAGAGCACAGTGTGGTACTGAGTGCACAGTGCAGCTTTCTGAGACTTTTGTTTAATGCAAAACTGCAGGCTTCTAGCCCTCATGGTGTTCAATCAGCAGGTGCAGATGGACTATGGTGGCCTCATGGAGGAGGTGCTATGCTGTCCTGGGCCATTCTCATGCTATCTGCCTAGGAGTAAAGGTGGCCTTTAGCAGTGCCTTTGCCCTGAATCTCAGCAGAGTGTTTTATTTTTGCAGGGCTGCAGCCCAAAAGTTCTGGAGAAGACATTTGAACAATGGATGAGGTATAAAGATGAGTGCTTGAAGAAGATAGCAAGTGATCCTTACCCTTCAGGTAAGGAGCCATTTTCTTTGTGCCTGATTTTAAAGTGGCAATTTCGCAAGGAAAAATCTCCATCTCTTTATTTATTTTAGATATTTGCATATTGCTTCTCAGGCAAACCCCACAAAGCAGTTTGCATAAAAATATTAGAGCAATACTTGTTCTTAGATACTCCACCTTCCTCCTACAGAAGCCCAGAGCCTGTGGATAGCTCAGTTGGTAGAGCATTAGACTTTTAATCTCACGGCCATGGGTTTGAGCCCCATGTTGGGAAAAAGATTCCTACGTTGCTAAGGGATTGGACTAGAGAAGAATGGTGCAGAAGAGGAAATCCTGAAAAGTGATAGGCTTCTACTATTCCTGCACGTGGTCTGAAGGCAGGAGACTCAGCCGCCTTGCTGAAGTGAGGTCAATGAGACTGCCTTAAACCCCCTTTGAGCCTTCAAAGGGGCCTCTAAGGATCACAGGGCATCATCACCTTGTATGAAGTCAGACACATTGGTCCATCTAGTTTAGTATTTGTCTACAGCTCTCCAGGTCTTCAGATAAGATGACATTCACTGCTGTATCTGGAGTTGTTGGGGATTGAACCTGGGACCTTCTGCATGCAAGTCAAATGCTCTACCACTGAACTATGGCTTTATCCTCTTCAAGTTGCATGATAGAAGAAATGCAGTAGAAAATGCAGCAAAAATGGTGAATGGTGAATAAATGGTGAATAAAACAGAGACTCTGAGTGGGCTTTACCTGACCACCACTGGGTAAAAAATGATATTCAAGTTCACAGTTTCTTTGGAGACACCTATTATTTATACCTTATGCACTAATTTATTAGCCAGTTTACGGTACAAATATTTCATATCATTTTTTGTTGTTGTTGCTAAATATGACATTGGTTCATATCAGGTATACCCTGAGATGTATTTTCCCTGCACTGATTGGTTGGGGCCACCTACTTTCTCCCCCTCTCTTTTCTTTCCTCCAATCACAGGTAGGCCTGCCAAAAAGGCTAACTTTACAGCCCTATACATGCCTACTCAGAAGTAAGTCCCTTGGAGTTCAATGGGACTTAATCCCAGGTAAGTGTATAGGATTGCAGCTTAACGTCTGCATTACCATGGGTGCCATTGAACATACCAAGTCTTACTTCCGAGTAAACATGCATGGAATTGCACAGCATAGCTGCAATTCTATACACACCCTTGCCTAGCAGTGAGGTCCATTGAAATGGGTGGGACTGACTTCTAAGTAGATGTGCTGCAAATTATTTTAACTGGGCACCTGCTATAAAGGTGACACATGAACTGTTTCCTGCCCTAGCAAGCTTTGTATTTCTCTCCCACCTTCCTGCGTGCTCTATCTCTCTCTGTCTATACCTCCCTCCATCAGTCAGTTATAACTCCAACCTAATACTCTAGTCTGCAATGGACAAAAGAGTCTCCAAACATCCCATAGGAATTCCTGGGATGTCAGTCCCAGAAGGGGTGCCCATTTTCACTCAAAGCAGTGAAAATGGACAGGATATTTTTATTCTAGCAAAAGAAAGGGACTTACCTAAGTGCAGTGCTCAGGGTGGATTCTTGTTCTCTCAATATAAGGAATCCAGTGAAACTCCACACACACACCCCGCACCCCAGTTCCCAGCAGGCACCTTCCTTGCAATGCTAAATGCAAAGTCAAAAGCCCGCTGAAGAACAGATGCATCCTTTAAGCACCCTGATTTTGATTACAGCAAGGGTAAGGGTGTGTGTATGTAGGGAAGAGGTCTGGAGATTCTATTTAACTGCTTTTATAGATGTTGCTCCTGCTGGGAAGCTGATTTTTGCAGAGTGAACCAATTTCTATTAAGGCTCTCATCCAAAAGGAGTGGAAGGGACCTGCTGAGTTGCCTTCCTGTGAAGAGGGGGATGACTTCACAGGATGGAACCATTCAAACCACCAGCTAAGTAGTGTTTAAGAATGGGGAGAGGGAGTAAATGTATTGAATACTTTACTTCCACCCCCACCCCACCCATTTTTTTTTAAGGAGCAGCAATATATAGAATTAAAATGTGCTGATTTCATGTAACGTTAAGAAAGCTACCTCGAGGGAGTGGCTCTTGCCTCTTTCCTCCCCTTTACATTTTGCAGGGCTATGCGCTTACGATCTGATTTCTGAAAAATGGGTGTGCAAATGCTTTTGCTGAGTTACGTTAACACTTAATTTGTGGAACTTGCTGCTGTGACAGGTGTGGACTGCCACACTGAAATGGCTTTGAAAGAGGGTTAGACAAATCCGCAAACTGGAATAGGTCCATCAGTTGCTGTTAGTTTGGAGACAGTGTGCTGTATATGAACTTCAAACTCATTCTCCAAATGAGGATTCTTGCATAGCCAGAATGGCGCTATCCACACAAGAAAAGGAGGTACCAAGAGGCTCAGGCAGTAAGACAAAAACATATTTATGGGGGGGGGGGGAATCCTGAATGCTGATGGCCCAGTGAATATTGTTGGTGTCAGAGTCAGAGGTGTAGTGGCCATGGACTATGGGAAGGGAAGGGGGATGTCAAAGACCTGTTATGATCTCTGCAGCAGGGTCCCTGTCTCTAGAGTCCCAGAGCCACACAAACAGCATGAAAGGGGAGCTTTTTAGCCAATGAGAAGGTGTCTTCTGACCCTTTCTGCTGATTGCAGCCAATCCGATTTAATTTTTTTTTTTTTAATGATTTTTATTAAGGTTTCAATAAAAAGTTAGACAGAAAAACATAAAAAAGAAGTACACAAATACACAATACATAATCCAAAAAAAGAAGGAAAACACAGAAAACAAAAAACAAAAAAAGAAACAGAGCAATTAAAAACAATATCACTTTTTCATTTCCGTTTTTGAATTTACTTATTTTCTGGACTTCCTCATACCTCCCTCTTTTGTATTCCAGTCCAAATTGTTTGTCCAGCAATTTCTTTTCCACTTTTTTAATCCCAATCTTTAATCTTAATATAATATAACACTTAAACTTCTTTAATCCTAATCTTTAATCTTAATGTAATATAGCATTAAAATTTTACCTCTTAAGTACCAAATTTCCATTTCCTTAAACATCTTTAATCCTAATCTTTAATCTTAGTCTATCAATAACTTTAACCTGTACAGCTGGAAACCACTTATTTTCGATCCAACATCACTCTAACATTCTTTAATTTTGCAGTGTTTCTGAAGATAATCTTTGAATTTCTTCCAATCTTCCTCCACCGACTCTTCTCCCTGGTCACGGATTCTGCCAGTCATTTCCGCCAGTTCCATATAGTCCATCAGTTTCATCTGCCATTCCTCCAGCGTGGGAAGTTCTTGTGTCTTCCAATACTTTGCGATGAGTATTCTTGCTGCTGTTGTGGCATACATAAAGAAAGTTCTATCCTTTTTTAACACCATTTGGCCGACTATGCCCAGGAGAAAGGCCTCTGGTTTCTTAGGGAAGGTATATTTAAATACCTTTTTTAATTCATTATATATCATTTCCCAGAAAGCCTTAATCTTTGGGCACGTCCACCAAAGGTGAAAAATGTACCTTCAGTTTCTTTACATTTCCAACATTTGTTATCGGGCAAATGATAGATTTTTGCAAGCTTGACTGGGGTTATGTACCACCTGTATATCATTTTCATAATATTCTCTCTTAAGGCATTACATGCCGTAAATTTCATACCTGTGGTCCACAACTGTTCCCAGTCAGCAAACATAATGTTGTGTCCAACATCCTGTGACCATTTAATCATAGCCGATTTTACCGTTTCATCCTGAGTATTCCATTTCAGCAGCAAGTTATACATTCTTGACAAATTCTTAGTTTTGGGTTCTAACAGTTCTGTTTCTAATTTTGATCTTTCCACCTGGAAGCCAATTTTCTTGTCCAATTTAAATGCCTCCATTATCTGAAAATAATGAAGCCAGTCTCGCACTTTGTTTTTAATTTTTCAAAACTCTGCAATTTCAGTCTATCTCCGTCTTGTTCCAAAATTTCCCAATATTTCGGCCATTTGACCTCCATATTGACCTTTTTCAAGGCTTTCGCTTCCATTGGTGACAGCCACCTTGGGGTTTTGTTTTCTAGCAAATCCTTATATCTTATCCAAACATTAAACAGCGCTTTCCTGACAATGTGGTTTCTAAATGCTTTATGTGCTTTGACCTTATCATACCATAAATATGCATGCCATCCAAATACATTGTTAAAACCTTCCAAGTCCAAAATGTCAGTGTTTTCAAGAAGTAGCCATTCTTTCAACCAGCAAAAAGCTGCTGATTCATAGTAAAGTTTGAGGTCTGGCAGGGCAAATCCACCTCTTTCCTTTGCAATCCGATTTAAAGGAGGTGAGTCAGTGTCGGAGGATTGGCTCCCAGGGTCACTGTGGAGAAGGCACCAAGGAAGAACACCAAGGAGTCGTTCTGCATGCTCCAAATTTAGGGACTTAGGAACACTGAAAAAACACAAGGGGTCCTTTAGCTTCAGGAGAATGATGTACAAGTTGTGTTATGTACAATGGAACTCCATGTTGTCAGTGGAGATTGTGGCTGAGAATTGGTCTAGAAAAGCCTAAGGAGGCTTGGGCAAGGGTCAAACTGGGGTTGTCCCAGGACCAGTTCTCTTTGCTGAGTTAACTCAGAAGTGACAGCCACAGACATACTGAGGATGCGGAAGGCATTTTACATTGTGTTCTGGGATGCTGTGCTGAATATATTGGACCCCCTTCTATGTTTTGCCCTTCCCAACCAGACTTGCTTTTGCCTCTTTCAGGGCTGTTTTGCAATCGGACGTTTGACATGTATGCATGCTGGCCAGATGGGAGTCCCGGGACCATCGTCAATGTCTCCTGCCCTTTTTATTTGCCCTGGTATGAGAAAGGTAAGGCTGTTTCTTGGTGGGTTCTTTTGGAGAGTATCTTCAAGGCATTCCAGGGAGCTTGAGGCTTAGATTCACTAAAATTCTTTTACACTTCATCTACAACATTCTCTGCCATCTCCCCAAAAATGTGTGCAGGTCTCCGTGCTCGGATTTCTCAACTTGTCCTGCAAATCCCTATTTTCTCTTTCTTCTATCCAACTTCTCAAATCCTGTTGACTAGGTCAACTTTGCCTTGTTGACTAAGCCATATTCTTGACTCCTGTTGGCTAAGTTTGCACTGTCTTTTACCTCCACAGGACACCAACCAATAAATCAGGGGCCCTCAAGATGTTCTGGTCTATAGCTTTAATCAGCCCAATGTCCACAGTCAGAGATTATAGGAGTTGTGTCCCAGAACGTTTGGATGACGCAAGGTTGCCTCTTTGTTCCATAAATCAAAGCAGGCATCATTTTGCATCAACTGTAAATCAAGCAGGAAATTGGGAAGAGTCGCTGTCCTTGGTGCTGATGTTTCAGATTAAACCCATTTTGTAGCATCCTGCTGCTGTTGAAAACATTGCTGGGGTTCTCATTTTCACGTTTGTAATGGCTAGTTACAACTTGTCCTGCGTCCTGACATCACTATAATCTGAAGGCAGCCCTGTTTAGGGAAGCTTTTAATATTTGATGAAGTATTGTATTTTAATATTTTGCTGGAAGCCACCTAGAGTGGCTGGGGAAACCCAGCCAGATGGACAGGGTATGAATGAATGAATGAATGATATTAGGTTTTTTCTCCACCCACACCAACAACTGCTAGTGATAATGGAGTAGAGAAACAGCCACACTGTCAGGACCAGATAATAATAATAATTTTTATTTATACCCCTCCCTCCCCAGCCAAGGCCGGGCTCAGGGCGGCTAACAAGCAATAATAAAAACAAGTTGAATGAATACAACTTAAAAACAAGATTAAAATACAATTAAAATATTGAAACATTAAAATATTAAAATGCAGCCTCATCACAGGAGGAGAAAGGAAAAAGAAAAAAGAAAGAGGGGGAGGGAATCAAATTGGCTCCAAGCCAAAGGCCAGGCAGAACAACTCTGTCTTACAGGCCCTGCGGAAAGAAATCATATCCTGCAGGGCCCTGGTCTCATGAGGCAGAGCGTTCCACCAGGCCGGAGCCAGTGTTGAAAAGGCCCTGGCTCTGGTTGAAGCCAATCTAACTTCCTTAGGGCCCGGGACCACTAGGGTGTTGCTATTTATGGACCTTGAGGCTCTCCGTGGGGCATACCGGGAGAGGCGGTCCCGTAGGTACGAGGGTCCTAGGCCGTGATAAATTGAACTAGATGTTACAAAATGCGCAAGGGGAGCTCTGACACTGGGCTGTCCTTTTTGACAGTAGCCCTGTGACCTCTGAATATATAAATGATAGTGCCTGACTCACTGTGCTGGGGTGGTTGGAGCCCAGCTCTCCCTCTGGGTCCTACTGCTTGGCCCTATTGTTATGATCCCTCAGAGGATTGGAGTCTCCCTTCCTCCCTGCAGCTTAGCTCATGCCTTCAACAAACACACAAAACATAACCGGCTGTGCATAGCCGGTTACGTTTTGTGTGTTTGTTGAATGTATGTTACATAATGTTAGGTTTGATGTTGTTTTGCAGCTTAGCTCATGCCAACAAGTCTTGCTTTCAGTGGATGTATGTTCTGCACAGTGATGCTAAGTGTTGACATTTCCAAACATGTCAGCCTGACAATGTCTGGCCTTTTTTTACTGGCAGTTAAACATGGTACGGTGAGCCGCAAGTGTGGGCCTGATGGCCACTGGGCGATGCTGAACGGGACAGAGCTCTGGAGGGACCATTCCCAGTGCAAGGAAGAGGTGGATGGCAACACTGGAGAGGTGAGAAGGGGAGCCTGCTGGGATTTGCTGGCCCTCCGTGAAGCTCATAATGACATGTCATTTGCTTCTAAACATGGCAAGCCTGGCTGGCAGTGTTTGAGGGCCTTCCTGCTTGTTCTGCTGAATGGGGCCCGGATCTCTGCCCCAAAGGCCTATCCTAATGGTGCCACTGTCCCTGCCCTCTGATGCTCCCAGTTGCATCTTCCCCAATGGGCTGGATGCGTCCGGAAAAGAGTGGAAATGGGCTGCCTTGGCTTGTCTGATGGGGCCTCCTCTCCTGTACAGGAATCATCCTACCGCCTGATGGTCAGCTTCAAGGTCCTCTACACCGTGGGCTACTCCCTCTCTCTGCTGGCCCTGGTCTTGGCTCTGCTCATCCTTACAGTCTTCAGGTACTGCATCCTGGCTCAGAGCGAAAGACCCTGTGGGATGGTGATGGACGCCTTTGCCTCTCACTTTCTCTCTCAAGTGTGCAGTCTGTTTTGTAATGGTTCAGGAGGTGTGCAAGGAAGAGAGAGATAAGAGAAATCCACAGCATTTGGCTGCTTTAATTTTGGATAGGCACATGGCGACCCCTTCAACATACACAGGACTGTGTCCAGCAATGTCTGTGATCACAGGAAGCTGCTTTTCTACTGGGTCCATCTAGCCCAGGGGTAGGCAACGTAAGGCCCAATGTGGCCCAATCGCCTTCTAAATCCGGCCCACACACAGTCCAGGAATCGGCATGTTTTTACATGAATGTGTCCTTGTATTTAAAATGCATCTCTGGTTTATTTGTGGGGCCTGCCTGATGTTTTTACATGAGTAGAATGTGTCCTTTTGTTTAAAATGCATCTCTGGGTTATTTGTGGGGCATAGGAATTCTTTCATTTCCCCCCCAAAATATAGTCTGGCCCACCACATGGTCTGAGGGACGGTGGACCGGCCCACAGCTGAAAAAGGTTTCTGACCACTGATCTAACCTATGACTAAGATATGTAGGAAGCATTTTGCATTGAGAGAGACCACTGGTCCATGCAGCTTGATACTGTCAACACCAAGGCATGGGGGAACCTCTGGCCCATGAGCCATATTAGGTTCAACAGGGACCTGCTGGGATTGGATGCGCCAGGGAGTTTCTGATCAGGAGCTTACAAGTCTTGCTTTGGGCAGGGATCTTCTTTGGCAGCCTGGCTTGAGTTGAACCCCTGCATGACGATCTCCAGCAAGGGAGGGCCCACCACCCCTCTAGGCAATTGGTTCCACTCCTGAGCTGCTCTGACCGTCAATAGGTTTTACACCAGCTTCATTGGAAGGCTTGTGTTTTTAAAGCAATTATAGAGTGGTGCAGAGCTACTGGGTCACCAGCAAGTGGACAGCATCCCACCTTGCCCACATTGGGTACCCAGTGCAATGTCCTTTTCACCCCCCAGGAAGCTTCGCTGCACCCGGAACTACATCCACGCAAACCTCTTCGCCTCCTTCGGGCTACGGGCCATCTCTGTGATCGTGAAGGATGCATTGCTGGAGCAGATGTGGAGAAGGGAGACGTTCCAGGTGTCCGACTGGGAGGCCTTGCTGAGCCATGAGGCAAGTATGATTCCTGCGGACTGTCGCATGAACCTAAAGAAACCAGCACTATTGCACTCAATTCCAATGGCAGATCTTGCATCTCCTGAGCAATTTGCTCATTTGGGCTTAACGTTTGATTTGATTACAGTGGTACCTCAGGTTAAGAACTTAATTCATTCTGGAGGTCTGTTCTTAACCTGAAACTGTTCTTAACCTGAAGCACTACTTTAGCTAATGGGGCCTCCCACTGCCGCTGCACAATTTCTGTTCTCATCCTGAAGCAAAGTTCTTAACACGAGGTACTATTTCTGGTTTAGCGGAGTCTGACATGTCTGTAGCCTGAAGCGTCTGTAACCCGAGGTACCACTGTATTTGATTTCTTTTTTCTTTTTCCCCTATATTTTTTATTAACATTTCTGTTTTACATTTTAGAATATTCATTTAAACAACCTTAAAATACCAGTAACTCCCCTTCTTCTCTTTCCATGGTTCATTTTGCATAACATAAATCCTTTCATATTTTATATAAACTAAACCATTCAGTATTCCATTACTACATCCATCAAAATTTATTTACACTGTTGAATTTATCTTAACACTGTCCACGTTTTCAAATATACACAATTTCCCTCCATATATTCAATAAACATTTTCCAATCTTCTTTAAACGTATGTACTTCTTGTTCTCTTATTCTATATGTTAGGTCTGCAAGCTGAGCATATTCCATCAGTTTAAGTTGCCATTCTTCTTTAGTTGGGACTTCGCTCATTTTCCATTTTTGGGCTAACAAAACACGAGCTGCATTAGTGGCATACATAAATAACCTTTCTTGACACTTGGGAATTTCCATCTGAATTATCCCCAACAAAAAGGACTCTGGGTTTCCCCCCCTAATTCATTTATTAAAAATATCTCTGAGTGGTGTACAAAAAAACTGTAACAGACAACTCAAAACAAAATATTACAAAAAAATGCACAGTTACATATAAAAATGTTGCATTAATCCAAAGTTGCTAATGTATAAAAATCATAATCAATTCATTTTCCTTCTGATAAACCCTCCTGTTCAGCTTCCGGGTTCCCTTGAAGGGTTCAAACAAACTCTCAGCTCACCCACAAAAGTCTCCCAATGAGAAGACTTCTGGAAACAGCACCCTAGTCTCTCACTCTAGACTTGCCTTTTATGGGCTTGGCATGTTGCTTCTACCGGCTACCCAAAGCTGTGTCCCATTCAGCTGTACTCTCCACACCCAGTTCCAGGTACAGCAGGTTTGCTGAGTTTCCCAGGAGGTCCAAAGGATGGGAAGAAGGTCCTCACCTCTGCTCACAGCTCTTTCTTCACCCTCTGTCCTCTCCTCTTCCTCCAGTCAGGGAAGACAGCATGGAGCTCAGCATCTTGGGAACCTTTGCTGAAAACCTCTTCATGTAAAGTGCTTGGGGTGCTGGAAAAAAAAAAATGAAGCCCCATCTTTTTTAACTGTGCCCCACTTAAGATAGTAGCTGGACAGTGAGGCTGAAACTCCCACCAGCCCCGGACTGCAGGGCCATTGGTCAATGATGATGGATATTCTAGTCCAACAACATAGGAAGCCATGTGATACTGAGTCAGACTATTGGTCCATCTAGCTCAGTATTGTGTACACTGACAGGCAGCCCTTCTCCAGCACTCTCAGCCAGGGGACCCTCCTAGCCCTTCCTGGAGATGACAGAAATTGAACCTGGACCTTCTGAATGCAAGGCAGATGTTCTGTTGCTGCTGAGTTAAGCCCCTTTCCTTGTTGGCTTTTTAAGTAGGTGCTTTAAATGGTTCTAATTTTTATTGATGTGTCTTTTGAAAACTTAATTTTATTTTTTTTTAAACCAAGCTGTAAACGGGTATAACAAGAACAGCAAAAATTAAAATGACAAAAATAACTGGAATAACGATGATGATTGAAATGCCAACAATATGCGTATTACTGTATTATTTCCATGTTTTTCATAAGTGCTGAAAAGTGTTCTTATTAGACACTGATTGGCTCTCTTATTCTAGGCTGCGATTGGTTGTCGAGTGGCTCAAGTCGTGATGCAGTACTGTATTCTGGCCAATCATTATTGGTTTCTTGCGGAGGCGGTCTACCTGTACAAGCTTCTGATTGGAGCTGTGTTTTCAGAGAAGAATTACTACACTCTGTACCTGTACTTGGGCTGGGGTAAGGAAGAACTGGGCTGGGAAGCACTTGCTAATACTGGGGCCAGTGCATACAATACATTGTTAAGCACACTTCGTTTTATTTTAAGGAAAAGCCGCCCAGGACCTATAATCTTGCTCAAAGCTAGCATTAGTTGGCTCTCCCTACCATGGGACCTGGTTCCCCCTACTGTTGGGCTCCCTGCCTTTTGCCCTACCAGCCCCACTGGGAACAATCTACAGTTCTTACCCCCAGCTTCAATCTATCTTCTTTTCATCCATTGTGATTTTTTGGGGGGAGGGGACAATTCCGAATCTTGAGAATTGAACTTAAGCAAAGGACACTATTTTATACACAGTGCTAATTTTGGAACTCCAGCTGCAGCAATTGCATTACCTGGGCAATTTGCCCATTTGGGCTCAACGGCTGAGTCAAGGTAGGGAATAGGAAGCTCAGCATCTTGGCCATTGATGAACCTTTGCTGGGCTGAAGACCCCTTGATGTACGGTGCTTGATTTGGGATGCTGAAGAAGGGATAATAATAATAATAATAATAATAATAATAATAATAATAATTTATACCCCGCTCATCTGGCTGGGTTTCCCCAGCCACTCTGGGCGGCTTCCAACAGAATATTAAAATACAATAGTCTATTAAACATTAAAAGCTTCCCTAAACAGGGCTGCCTTCAGATGTCTTCTAAAAGTCTGGTAGTTGTTGTTCACTTTGACATCTGGTGGGAGGGCATTCCACAGGGCAGGTGCCACTACCGAGAAGGCTCTCTGCCTGGTTCCCTGTAACTTGGCTTCTCGCAGAGAGGGAACTGCCAGAAGGCCCTCGGCACTGGACCTCAGTGTCCGGGCAGAACCATGGGGGTGGAGACAGTGCCTTTTAACCCAGAAATGCAGTGGGGTGGACCTAGCTTGCTTCTCGACTTCCAGTGAGTATTTGGTTTTTTCCAGAGCTTTTGCTGTGTGACTTGCAGGAACCCCCGTGGCTTTTGTGGTGCCGTGGATGGCTGCCAAGTACCTGAAGGAGAATGCAGAGTGAGTGTGGTGGTACTGGGATGGGGAATTTGGGCTGATTGGCACAGGGAGGGATTTTATGTTATACAGTCAAACAGGGAAAAAAAGATGCAGGTCAATAACTGAACAAGGTGACATGTCTCCCACAGTCTTCTGTGGCTTCTCAGTGGAGCTGACGGAGCAGCCCTGCTTGCCATCTTTCCCACAGAGCTGTTTTCCTGCCTGTTCCATTAACCCCTCTGGAATGATGCTGATCTCCTCCCTGTTTTGTGCTGCAGGTGCTGGGCATTGAACGAGAACATGAATTACTGGTGGATTATTCGCATCCCTATTTTGCTAGCCTCTGTGGTAAGTGCCTCCCCCTTGTTCCTCTTGCCTAACTTGAGATGGGGCAAGAGGGGGAGGACAGTGCCTTTCTGGTGGTGATGGTGGTGGTAAGGAGTCTGGCTGGCTTTTGGTACTCAGGAAGAGCAACACCTTTGCCAGCCGTGTCAAAGCAGTATAGCTTGGCAATATGTTGCGTCTCTCACCCCCCACTCAAATGCTACACAGGAAGCTGCCTTATACCAAGTCAGACTAGCTCAGTACTGTCTACTCTGACTGGCAGCAACTCTCCCAAGGTTTCAGGCTGGCGTCTCTCCTAGTGATGTCAGGGATTGAACCTGGGACCTTCTGCATGCAAAGCAGATGCTCTACCCCCCGAGCTATGGCTCTACAAGGGGAAGAAAGAACATGGCACAGTCTTCCCAGCTGCAATGTCTTATCTTCTTGCTAGAATCTTTTTGTGAGCAAGGGGCTTGTTGCTTCCAAGCTTTGATTAACTCACCACTGTGTCTTCCCAGATCAACCTGCTGATCTTCATGCAGATCCTCAAAGTGATCCTGGCCAAGCTGCGAGCCAATCAGAAGGGCTATGCAGACTACAAACTGCGGTGAGTTTGTCCGCCAGGTAAACCCCAAAGAAAAGCCCGAGTCCTGAACTCAGGAACTTAAGTTTCATCTCCTGCTTGGTGTTGTCCCTTCCAGGCTGGCCAAAGCCACCCTCACCCTTGTCCCTCTCTTTGGGATCCATGAAGTAGTCTTCATTTTTGTCACAGACGAGCAAACTACAGGAGTGCTGCGCTACATCAAAGTCTTCTTCACTCTCTTCCTCAACTCCTTTCAGGTGAGTTTGGGAGCACCTGGCTTGGATCACCTGCTTTCTGACATGGTTGCTTACTTGTTTCCTGACCACCCCCACCCCCATTTCCTACTTCCACCCTAAAGGGGAAAGTTTGTTGGAGAATGTATGTGGCAGCAGTGTGCAGAAATAAATTGTCTGGCAAAAGCCATCAGGCTTTGGCCCTGTTTTCCAACAGGTTTCTGTTTGCTATTGCAAACTCATGCTTCCTTCTCTCTCTCTCTCTCATCTACTGCAGGGATTCCTGGTTGCTGTCTTGTATTGCTTTGCAAATAAGGAGGTAAGCAATGTCCCCACCACCCACCCTGGCTGAGATGATCCAGTCATTCTTGGGCATGCAATCTTATACAGCTCATACTAATCCCTGATCAGTCTTACCTATTGGAGCCTCTGATTGGCAGATGAGGACTTGTTGCTGCTGACATCACCAAGAGATGTCTGGTTGGTACTGACTGGGCCTTTTTGGTGGTGGTTCCCTGGTTGTGAAATGCCCTCCCTGGTGAGGTGTGCTTGACTCCCATCATTATTAGCTTTCCGGAAGGAATTTGAAAACATTCCTGTTTACCCAAGCATACTTGGTGGCTGAAGAATACTGATTCTGGCAACCCCAAGATCACTGGATGGAAGGATGTTTTGAATCGCAGTTGCTTTTAACTGAAACAGCTTTTAGATGTTTTTAATTGTTACTGTTTTGGGAATATTTTATTCCATTTTAGAAGGTTTTTGCTTAGTTTCTCAGTTGTATATCTGGCCTGATTTAGGAGGCTGTTCTTATGCTTTCTTTTCATCCAGGTGAAATCCGAAATGAAGAAGAGGTGGCAGCTTTGGAAACTGGACCACCCTGCCCTCTGCTGCACCCAGTAAGAGGAAATTGGGGACGCCAAGAGCTCCTTAAGACAGCGATTGATGCTCTGTCCTATGATGCTGCACCTGGCATTCTCAGATGGCCACAGAGTGCTTGGGGCAATGGTGGTGGTGATGGTCACAGCTTTGTTGGAGGACCACAGGCAACGTTCTGAAAAAGGGGGCAGAGGTTATTTCTACCAGTTGGGCAAAATATAGAAACTGACATTGCTGGCTTACAGCACCCAGATGATGATAAACCAGCCATGAAAGGGCATTAGGAAGTGCCAAAGAGCCTGATGGAGGGTGTGCATAACGCTGCAGAAGGAATCCTGAAGCTCCAGGAATTAGAGAGGGATGTGTGCGTGTCTAGCTCTATGGTACAGCATCTGCTTTGAATGGAGAAGGTCCAGGTTCAATCCCCAGGATCTCCAGATAGGGCAGGATGAGACCCCATTGGAAATCTTGGAGAGCCACTGCCCAGCCAGAGTAGGCAATACCAGATGAAGAAATGGTTTGACTTGGGATAAGGGAGCTTCCTGTGTTCCACGTCTCAAAACCAACTCAGGATTCAGCTTTGGTAGGATGGCAGTCCATCCTAGGAGATCACCAAGGGCCTTAATACTGTCCTCTACCACCTGTTCCCATTGTTCAGCAACTGCTATCTACCTTCAAGCTTTTCATAGAGGTATATTCTGTACCAGAGAAAAGAAGTCCTCCTCTCTCAACTATGAAGGCTACAGGCTTCTAGGCCAAGATCAAGATAGCCTTGCAGACACAGGCACTGAGATCCCTCTTCAGTTTTGTTTCTGAAGATGCCAGAGCAAGAAACCCATTGAGGACTCCTTCAGGGGACGTTATAGCTCTGTAGCCCAGGCAATGGCCAGCCTGACTCAGTGTGGGAACTCTGCAACGCTCTCCTTAGCTATGACTGAGCCCAGTGGTTTGGCTCCAAAGAGGACATTTCTGGGGAGTCAAGAGGATTGTGCTTCGCTCAGCTTCTGCATGAGGTCCCTGTGCTCATTAAAAAGCACAAGCTTCTGATGCATCACTTTGCAAGGCGCACTGTTAACATTGGGAGAACTCAGAGTACTTTCCCTGTACACCCTGACCTTCTCGGGCTTCACGCAACCAGCGGTGGACGCACTTTGCATCTCAAACAACTCCTCCTGCCTCTTTTCCCCTTTGGGCAGCTCTGAAGGTTTTCTTTAGCTGCCCAGTGCGTGTGGGACCTTGATCATTCTTCATATACCACCATCTATCCATATATGTCACTTTGCAAAGAACAGGTCTATGGCTCCAGGGGGCTGACGTGCAAAGGGATAATTTAGAGGCATGGGAAGAATATGCAATTATTTCAAGTTGGCTTTGTTACAGGACAGTGACTGGTGGTGGGAGGAGGAGGAAATGATGACTCTCCTAAGGGAGGTTGCCTGGAAATGCCTCTCTTGCACCAAAGGGAAAAGGCAGAGTCATTTTGGGTAGAGGGGTAAGGTTGAGGTCAAAGGTCACGGGAAGGAATGTGCCAAGAAATAAAGCACATAGAGGGAAGTGTAAGACCATGGAGGGTTTTGAAGGGAAAAACTTTGAGGGCATAGGAACATGCTCTGAGAGGAGGAGCTGAATCGTGCCTTACTGAATTGAAACTACTGCCCCCTCCCTCTCCAGCCCTAGCCTTTCTCTCTGGCTGCAAAAAACTTTTGAGGGGTGCAGGCGCTACAGTAGCTCCTCCTTCTCCAGGGAAGAATAAGGATTGCTGAACACAGGGCAATTTACAATGCCAAGCAACTTGCAGAAGTCATGGCTATGGAAAAAAACAGCCTAGAAGAAAGCAGGAAGGGGATGTCGGGAGGCTGTATGAACTGAGCTACCTTGGAGGCGGCAAAAAAGATGCCTGTTTTGGAACAGGCAGTGCTACGAAACATTTAAGCCAAGTGTCCCTTTAGTTTTATTGCAGGGGGTGGGGGAATGCAGGAGGTGACCCAGCTCTTGGCATTTTGGAGAAGCTTGCTCTGCAGCAGGAGTAGCAAACCTTTGAGCCTCCAGGTGCTACTAAACTACAACTCCCATCAGCCTCAGTAAGCAGGGCAGGGGTGATGGGTGTTGTAGTCCTGCAACTTTTGGAGGACCAAATGAATCCCATCTGTTCTGCGCCTGCTAAGACTAAGTAGGCCACTTCTTTTAAATGTAACACTCAAGGGGAAGGATAGTTTCACACAGACAACTGTTCTGCGCATGTTTCCAAAAAGTGCCAATTATTTCCAGCAAAAGGGATGTCCTTGGGGGGAGGAGAAGGAAGCACAGCGGAGAAGAGCTGGGCGACTTGGACGTCAGGGTTGCGTCAAAGAAGACACAGGCAGGTTCATCTTGCTGTGACCTAATCCCTGCACAGCTGCAGCGGAAGATTTGAAGGATTACAGGTCTGGAGGCTCAAAGGGATTCTAAAGCACGGCTATTCTCCACCACAAGTTTAGCATCTTCTAGAACTTGTAGAACTTCCATTTTCTCTGCAGGTTCTTCCTTTCTTGGAGGTAAAGGGTACACGATGCAGAGCAACTATAAGTAAAATGGAATAGAGGACTCCCATCCAACACCAGTCCCTTCACTGCAGGCTTCTGTAAACACTCCAAGAGTTTTTCAAGCTAATAAAACTTTGAACGCCTTCTTCATTACTGAGATACATTCATGCTGGTTGCCATTCTGTGTGACCACCTCCAAAAGCAGTTGTGTCATATGATATATTTTTTTTGGGGGGGGGATTCTCTAATTCTTGCACAACACCAGAGCAAGCCATTTCACCAGGAAACAGCCAATATAGAGTGTAATCTGCATCTGTTACAAGCAGCAGCACAGCTACTCCTACTCTGCTCAGGTAAAGTTTGGAGGGGATCATGAGGGATGGATCTGCTTCCTGTGAATTTTACCATGAGGGTCGGGTAGGGCTATAATCCTCTTGCTGCTGCCATTATATGGTGCAGGATTGTAGCTCTTATGAAGCACAATGGAAGGAGGAAGAGAACACGCCTGTAAAGATCTGAATCATATAATCACATACTATGCACAACAACCAAGCAGCAACTCAGACAGTAAGAATAAAATTTATTCACAGATCAGTCAGTGCCTGTTAAATGCTGGTTATCAAATTTATAATTTTTTTCTGAGATCTCCCTTTCCGCCCCATTGTTATGACCAGAGATGTACTCAAATGCTGAAACTAAGCCCAGATTAATAAAACACCCCAGAACAGAGAATGGCAACCTCAACAGCCATCAACTCGCAACAACGATCTTGCTAAACCACGTCCAATCCTATTCTAGTTAAGACACAGACCACCTTGGGTTTTCAAAAGCTCCAGATCTTTTGTTTAAAAAAATGATTTTGCTGCACCGTCACTCAAAATCAGCAGATCAAAAGGAAATTGTCACCACCTCTAGTTCTCACAAGCAGTAAACATAATGGTGGAAGTATGCTCTGAGCTGTACCACTTTAGCTTGTCTAGGAATGAATACCCCACCATACAATACAGTTTCCTGCACCTTATAAAGCATGGCAGGAAAAAAGGCTGGGTTAGAAGAGCTATCATCTCCCAACATCTGGTGCACGGAGGAGGGATCCTTTCAGCCCCTCGGTGTAGTCTGAAGTTGTACAGCCCAGCCATAGGCTTATTTTATTTTTATATAATACCCCCCATTACATAATTTCAAGGCAACTTCACAATTTTAGCAACGCAACATTAAAGGCAATAAAACATGCAACATTTAAAATCTTTTACTATCTGTGAGAACTAGGCTTAAGATGTGCATCAGAAAAGAAGGCTGTGAAGCAGAGGGGTTTACACCAAAGCAGCCTCCCTTTGCTGAGCCTATCAGAAGTCGCTTAAAGACACACACATCCCCCTCTGTGCGTTAATGGGAAGGCTCCATTTTGCACAACAGATGCAGAACAGCATCCACCAGCCTGCTAAAATGTGCAGTTTTTTGGGTAACTGTTTTGTATGTTCCAGGAGTGGAAAAAATGGGACAGCTTTGCTACTGGGTGCAGCCATGCCTGGCTTTGGGATAACTTTTTATCCTGTAGGTTAAACACATGGCCATGTGATTCATCTGCTAGCTGCTTCAGATTTATGCTCCTGCTGTCCACGCACAAGCCTTGCTTCACTTTATACCTGCATCATGTGAAGACCTAATAATATCAACACAAGAATTTTCTGAGACAATTATGTGCTTTGTGCTTAGGTCTCCACACAATACAGGTGTGCAGCAAACCAAGGCTTATGCATGAACTCTATGTGATGATGTGCATATCAGAAGCAAGTCAGATAAATGAAAAGGCTTCACCACTCTCTCTCTCCCACCCCCATTCTCCAAAAACCAGACAAGGCCCAGCAAGACACAGTACATGTTATTCAGTAACTCCAGGACTGCCTACATACGCTGCTAGCTGGGCTTGGGGAACGCTCTTGCTCTGAATCCCAGAGCCACTTCACACCATCAGCTAGCCTGGGATAAACATTCCCAAGTTCACATCAAACGCTGGATTTCCATTCTCCAAAGTGGGCATGAGTTCTTGCACATCCCAGGATAAGCAATCCCTGTAAGTTGTGGTCTTTGGTTGCTGGAACTCAGAGATTTTCCCGGCCAAGCCATGAGCACCCCAAGTCAAGACAGCAGGAAGTTTTATAACTTCACGCCTACGGTGAGAGGTGCTATCTCACTGTAAGTTGTTGTGAATAAAGCCACAAGTTCCCTGCTGGAAGAATCAAAGGCTAGGAGAGGCCCAGTGGTTGCTACTACGGAGGCACTTTCATTGAAAAAGTGTGTGTGTTTGGATTGCTTTCTTTCTTAAACAATGGGCTTTGATAATGGAGCCTCCTCCCCACCATTGCAGTGCCAGCTCAGGTATATATCAGGCCTCCATGCAGCTGGGCAGGACACAGAAGTCCTTGCATCCCCCAAACAGGTAACCTCCAAAGGATAAAACCCTCTAAGCGTGGGATCTCCTGGCCGCCACCTGCCTCATCTTTCCTCCCACGTGGGCACAGGGAAGGGGACCAATGGAGAGGAACCTGGTTGCCAAAACAAACAGAATATCCAGCAAGAGATGCAGACACAAAATGCCCGCCTTGGAACTTCCAAGCTTGGAGAGAACCCTTTGCTTCCAGCTCTTCCAGCAGGATTTAGGTGCCATGGTCCTTCTTCAGCACAGCAGACCTGGCCTCCCTTCTCTACAATGGCACACCTGCTTTCCTAGGACAGCCACTGGCAGCTCTCGCTGCAGATGACCTGTGCCGCCATGCCATCTCTCTCTCTCTCTCTCTCTCGCACTCACTCATGCTTCCTCCGCAGGTAAAACACAGCTTCTGGGTGGAACATTCACCCGACGTCAGAACCTCTGCAAAAACAATCACACCCAGGAAACAAAAAAGAGGCAGAAGCATGAGCACTTGTGCTGCATGGACTTTGGCCAGTTGTTCAAAGTGGTGGTGACAGGGGCGATTAATTCAAAAGTTGCTCTAGCTGCAAATGTTTGCATCCAAAAAACTCAAGAGCCCTGCTGGATTGGACCAAAGTTCCATCAGGTTCGGCATCCCCTTTCTCCATAATACAAATGATAAACTGGTTCTGTCATGATTTTCCACCTTGTTAGGGCCACTGCACTGCCCCACCATCCTCAGTCTGCTCTCAGTCAGCCCCCACTTGCTTAACTCTTTACTGAAAACCAGTCTGGAGAGTGGTATTGCCTGGATGGGGACACAGCTAGGGATACCTCACTCTGTTCCTCATTGTTGGCTCTCTGCTCTCTGCCTTCCACCCAACCAGCCCCAATGGGTGCCAGCCACCACTGCCCGAGTAACCATCATTTTACAAGGGTGATGACACTGCTTTTGCTGGGGCTCGTGTCTGCTACCATTTTAAAGCAGGATCGAAAACTTGGTTTTTTATACTGCGATGGCTCTCAATCAGGCATGAGTTGTGTAGAAAGACTGTCAGTGGGGAGCAACAACTAGGAATCCTGAGGATCTGGGGAGGGGGAGGAGAGTATAAACCAGTATAATGTTTGCCGCACAGATATGCCTTTACGCAACCCTGACCTTGGAGGAGAGCGGACAGAGAGCTTGAAAGCAGAATACTACTTTGCTACCAAGTGCTCTCTCTTCTCAGACAGACATGCATCTCATTCAACAGCGCTCCACTACATACCTTCCTCCACTCCTAGGCCTATTTCTGGGGCGGCTTGCCCTTCTGTAGACTCTGCAGGCTCTCGAGATTAAGGTTGACAGAACTAAGAGCCTTCCCTGGGGACACAGAAAAGCTATAATAAGCACAGGTGCCAAGGGATGGAGATGTTCTTCAATGCAGGGGAGAAGGGAAACAGCAAGCCCGTTATTTGACTTAGACTTTACACCCACCAACTGGTGCCAAACAAGGGGAACATGAGCATCTGATAATCTTCAAACCTTACCCATTTCCCCCCAGCACTGCTCCAGAAGAGCCGAGAGCTCAGGCAGACTGAGGACCTTCAAGGAGGACGGCCATCCTTCTGTGCCTAGGGTAAAGAAGCAGAATGGGCACAAAGCATCAGCATATTGTGGGTCAGCACCCATTGGCCCAAACATAGAGTGTGGGGCGGAAGCAAACACTGGGGGGGAGGGGAGAGGAGTCAGGACAATGGATTGAACCAGGGACTGCCAACTTGAAGTGGTGGATTTGGCACTGAATAGTCTTCCAAATTTTTATGTCATGGTGTGGTTGAACACACATACACACACACACACAGAGAGAGAGAGAGAGAGAGAGAGAGAGAGACTGCCTTTTTACTTGTAAGGAAAAGCAGCAGTCAGTCTCCATGCATTTTTCATATGAAATAGCTGAGACCTGGGGAAGGTGAAAGGGTGATGAAGGCAGACTGGGCTCAAAAATAAGCCTGTCCTCTGAAGCCACTTCCTTTTCTCTCTCTTGCACACAGACACAAGGCTGGGGAACCTACTGCCCTACAGATGTTGCTGGGTTGCAACGCTCAACATCCTTGACTGCTGGCCGTGCTGGATGGGACTGATGGAGTCCAGAGACGCCTGGAGGGCCACCTGTTTCACATCCTGCACTAGAACAGCCCACTTACTGGGTCCCAGCTGCGCTTTCGCTTCCAACAACCGGCCAGCCGGATGCTCTCGGTTCATTCGGGAAGACAGTTCTGCCTGACAGGCCCTACCAGAGAAACCAAAATACTGTCAGCAGGATTCTGTGAAAAGAAATAAAAACCGCACAAAGTAGAGCACAAGAAAGCAGGATAGTGCCGTAGTCTCAAGTGCCACACAAATATCCTAGAGCAGTGGGGTAAACCTTGGTATGCCACCGCCACAAAAATGAGGCATCAGCACTGAGCACCTAAGACAGAACTAAAGAGGAGAGGAGAGTTAGGACAAAGGGAATTTATCCCCTGACCATCTTCCTAACTCCAGGGTCATTTGCACGCTACAGATGCTACTACCTGAAAAGGTGAATTCTGCCGCTTATACAGGTTGTGTAAAAAAGGCATACATGTTGGAGAATTCTGCCATTTATTGTTCCACCCAAATCATTTGGGTCTTCCTAGCTGCCAATGAGACGGCAGGAGCAGGAAAGGGATAAAGCCCCTCAGCAAGTAGGTATCCGATTTAGTCATCTCTGCTGTGGCAAATGTCCCACTCACTTTCTCTTTAGGCTTTTGGCAGGAATCCTTCTATACTCTTTAGATCAAGGTGTGTATACTCTGAGTTGCTGCCGACTTGTAGTGTAATTTTGCTGCTTGAAGCAGCATCCGTATACTGTCCTTTTCATGCTTTATTCCTCAGGTGAGCACTTCTTGGGGCATAATACTACATTCATAACAAACACATGATATAACTCTATCAAAAGCTCCTAAGCCTCTTGGTGGTGTGTACAGGAATACATGTGAGTGCTGGATACACATGTGGGTTTGGGCACACAGCTTGAAACAATGCGGCTCCTACGATTGAACCAGGCATTGTACCCACACACTTGGATGTAATCACAAACCCCAGGGGCTGGAAACTTGTGTTTATTTTGTAAAGTTTTTAAAAAATGAAAAACAGGATTCTTAACACGTTGCACTGAAATCATATCCAATGCTTTTCGCTGGCACTTTTTTAGAATCATGGATGCAACTCCCACATTAGGCAGCTAAGGCTGAGAACAAGAGGGAAGGATGAATTTCCAGACACGAAGCCACAAGCCTTTGGCAGTCATTGTCACCGAGTGCCTGGACTTCCCCCCCAATTCAGAATCCTACAAGTGGCACGCTGGCTTAACTTGAGGAGATGAAGGAGCTTACAGAGAAGGGAGTGTAAAGAAATGGCGAGAAAGTTTGACCTTTGTTGGAGGCACTCACTGCATCTGTTCTAGGAGGATTCCAGCATTCCTGGCGATGGCCTGCACCTCTCGGAGTTTGGCCTGAGCACTGCTCCAGACCACATCCTGCTCCATCAAGCAGCTCTCCACCACGGCACGCAGCTCCTGCTCCTGGGACACCTGACCCTTCAGCCCTTCTACCTCCTCGCACCTCTGGAAGGGAACACGGGGAAAGTTGCTAAGAGACAAAGGTCCACATTTGTGAATTCCAAAGGATTTTAAGAACTCCCACAAAACTCTGGCCAACAACTGTTCCTCTGCTTCACTTTACTATCAAACTGAGTTTGGGTTTGGGGGGTAGTACTAGCTTGCCAAAGGCTTTCCAATCGCACCAGGTTTCAGATCTCTCTCAATATATAATTTTTTATTGAGTTTTCGTTTTTCTACATTTCAGATTAAACATTTTACAAACTTTAAAATATCCAGTGACTTCCTTCCATGGTTCACGTTGCATATCATGGTCTCCTGCATGCTTTACTATAACCATTCACATCAATTTCCCACTTTTACATCAGTCAAATATTGTTTACTCCTGTTGAATTTATCTTAAAGCTGCCAGCGTTTTCAGCTGTGTACAATTATTTCCCATATATTCAATAAATATTTTCCATTCTTCTTTAAATATATACATTCTTCTTGCTCTCTTATTCTGTGTGTTAAACCCGCAAGTTCTGCATATTCTAACATCTTAAGCTGCCAATCCTTTTTACAAGGGACCTTGCTCACTTCCATTTTGGGGCTAACAGAACACGGGCTGCTGTTGTTGCATACATAAATAAACTGTTCTGGCACCTGGGAATTTCTGTCTGGGTTATTCCCAACGAAAGGGACTCTTTTTTGGGGGGGAAGGTAAATTAAAAATTTTTTTCAACTCATTATAAATCATTTCCCAATATTCCTTCACCTTTCTACTTCTCCACTGCATGAAAAAAATAAATTCCTCCCATCAAGTTTCAGGTCTCTTAGCTGTTTGTCTGATGCTGTATCTTTCTCAAGCAACTTCAGACGAACAAGGACATCCTCTATGACTAGGAAGGGACAAGTGCATTCCCCATGCAGAAGCAGGTTCGCTTGGCCTGAGGCAGAAGCTTCTCAATGGGCTTAAGAAGCCAGCTTCCTTACCTTATGGAGCTGAATGGCCAGTTCCTGCATTTCTGCTTCCAGGCGATCAGCATAGGCCAGCTCCAGGGCATCACTGGGAGGCCGGGCGCTGCTATGCCATCGAGCAATGGCAGAGGTCATCTTCCTCTTTGGTCCAAAGAGGCTACAGGGGAGAAAAAGCAGCAAAGGTTTAGCAGCAAAGGTACCGCCTCCCTTTTGCTACTCCCTTCCTTCACTGGGGAAGTCTGCAGGCAAAACAGAACCACCCTGATTTTCCTAGACATGCTGAGACCCAAAGAGAGATCAATGTGAACAATAGATATTCACACATAATGGGAGCTTCAATTAGATCAGTGTTTACTATGCTTTCAAAAAACGCAAAGAAAACCATTCTGAAAACATACATATATTATGTTCAATTTATTCTGCCTGACTCAAAGCTGGAGATGGGCTATGCTACATTGGGTACTGCAGCCTTTCCCCCAGAAGCAGTGGAAAACATGCTCAGCCCTGAAATTTTGCAAAGCATTGGGCTATACTTTTGAAGTAATATGGACTAGAAAGATAAAAAAAGAAAATGAGAAAACTGCAATTCTCAGGAAGCTAGCTTCTGCGCTTGTGCAGTATTGCCACACAACTGCGTACATTCTGCAAAAATATTGCAGATTATACACAACTGACAAGGGCAGCTGTCCAGGTTATGCAGTCTGCACAACATAGAGCAGGAAAAAAAAACATTTCTAAGAGAGAGCATTAAAAATTCTTTGGGAGCTATTCCTATATTGAACTGAGAATAAATAATTGCACAGCAGCCTTGCCAGCTGGGACCCAGGATTCTGCTAACAATGACAGCAAAGTTCTCGATAACTCTGGTTGGAAGGTACATGTTGTTCCTGGGGTCATTTCCTATGTTCCTGATTATATGACAGCACTTCAAAGCTAAGCCTCCAGCCAGCCAGCAAAGAAAGGGACTCACGTGATGCCAATCTCTTTCAAGTCACTCTCTGTCAAGGTCAGGAAGATGCGAAGGTCGACGTCTTGCTCCTCAAACACTTGCAGGTACTTCAGGCAGCCAATCTGCTCAAGGAAGGTGGCCAGATCCTGCAGCCCAGGCAGTGCACAGAGGACAAAAAAGAGGGAGAAGTTCAGGACTCTTAAACGCTGAGAGACTCTAGCTGCATCACAGCATGTTGTAAGCCAGGCTTCCAGCTTCATCAGGATCTCTGCCCCTCTAGGCCTTTAGCACCACCTTGCCCCCTGCAATTTAACACGGCACCTAATACACAAGGACTGTCTCTGACACCAGCTCCTCTGTCCATCCCTCTGTCCCTCCCCCTGTCCACCCCAGACGGTTTTCTGACCACTATGCCATGGTTACCTGGGGCCCCGTGTAAGATGGTGCCTCTGTGTGAGAGGGGCTGCAGTGATGGCTGGACACCCGGGATCGGTAAGACCAGTGGCTGTCGCTGTTGCTGCAGCGATTCTTTGCCTTCATGTAGCTCTTGGGGTGCTTTCGAATGGAGAGCTTTGTTTCATGGTCTGAATCCTGGAAAATATAAAGTAGTGGCGTGTTTTGAGAAGAAGGAACACGACGCAGCTCCAAGTCTCAAACGGATACAAGGACATCATTATCCTTTTGTTCATGATGTGAAGAATCTGTACTCTTACATTATAAAGCAGGAAGAACGGAAGTGAGAGAGGCTCCTCTTACCAAAGCAGAGAAAGCAGAGGCAATGGGAGGAGAAATCCAACACCACGGAAGGACAAATGAATCCTTACTCCAGCTTCCCAAGATGCCTGAACAAAAGCCCCTTACCAGCCACCCACAGACAAGGCAGGGGTAGGGAATCTTTCTGAACCCAAGAGCCACATTTCCAAATGGAAAACCTCTTGGGGGCCACATGCCAGTGGTAGGCAGTGCTAGAGCCAAGAAACAGATGCGAATTTAACTTTTGTACGGTTGGCTACAAACTCTTGTACAAACAAAGGAAGAGGAATTATCCTGGTTCAACGACACATTGCAGCCAAGCAAAAACAGAACAAAATTTGAAGATGCGAAGCAGGCATGGTGAGGGGTGTGGTCTGGGGGAGACGCCAGAAAACCAGAAAACAGAGGTTCCCTAATTTGAGGAGCCAAGGTTTCTTTCTATACACTAGGAGTGGGGAAACTTTGGTCCTCCAGGCTCTTCTAACTTGAATGATAGCAAAAGACTTACCTCGTTGCTTTCCAGAGAGCCCTCGCTGCTGACCCCCACAGCTTTGGCAAGACTTTCGCTGCTGCTGCTGGTCCTGATGGTGGCTAAGTTATTGGTGAAGAGGGAATTCTCTTCTGAAATAGGCAGAAGTCATGAAACAGTAAGTTTCACATTCAGGCCTCATAGATGTTTACTGATGGCAACTTTGTGGATTACCTATTCTAACGCAAAACATACACTACCGCAATAGAAAGTGATTACGTCAGGAAGTCCCCAGAGTTGGCCGGGCTCACCCAACAGCAACAAGAAACTGGCTCACTCCTGTGAAATACTCTGCCAATATTCAGCAGGTGCCTTCTTTTTCAACCTTTAAAGGCCTGCTGAAAACTTGTTTTATTCCCTCAAGTTTATGCTGGCAATTAAGCGTACATATTTCATAATAGCTGATTTCTGATTCATTTATTTACACGGTTTTATTGTATGGTTTTATTTCAAAAAATTTTTTAAAAATGAACAGCAGTATAAAATAAAAATTGTGTTTAAGAAAGGTACCCCGGCTGCTGCTGCTTTCCACATCATGCTCATTGATGGGAGACGTGACATCTCTGTAGCGGAGATCTCCTCCTTCAAAGGCACTCCCATCATCATTAAAGGTAACATAGCCTTCTGGAGGGACCTGCTCTGTGTGCAAAAGGGGGGCAGAGGGAGAGAGAGGTGAACAAATGAAAAAAGGAAAGGGAGAGATTTTATTTGTTGAGAGGTTAAATGAAGAGGCTTATCTTTCCCCCCACCAACCAAGAGGTTCAGTACTGCCTCTTGCTTTTTCTTCTGCTGAAGCTCATAACGTTACAGCTCTACGGAGGTTTAGAGGCTTGCTTGGAAGTTTTATTTAAAATTAAGCGCTATACAAATTATGTTAAATAAATAAAAATAGAATCCAGAGAGCAAGCAGCTGTGTTCCAAGTTCATTAGTATAGGAGCATAGGAAGGTGCCTAATACTGAGTCACATCATTGGTCCATCTTGCTGTGTGGTCTACACTGATTGGCAGCAACCCTCCAGGGTTTCAGAGGACATTCCCAGCCCTACCTGGAGGCACCAGGGACTGAACCTGGAACCTTCCACATGCAAGGCCAATGCTCTACCAACCAAGCTACAGCACTTCCCTGAAAATGGTGTTCAGGGAAGGAGGGTGATAAAGTAATCAGCCGCAGGACAAGAGGAAGCTACCCGTTTAGAGAGAGAGGAAGTGAGCCTGAACTCACCATAACGAGATGGGCTTTTCACTCCAATTCTGACCGCCGTGATCTTGGCCAGAGCGTGGGGTCCTTCGTGAATACTGGGGCCTTTGGACTTGCGAGCAGGCCTCTGCCTCTGAGGGGCACAGTAGGATTCGTCGGAGGAGCTGAGATCTTCATACTTTCCTAAGTGTCAAAATGCATCAAGTCAGTGGACGCAGAGTGCATACAGATATTAAATTCCAAGAGCAGCATCCAGCTAATTAGTTCTGCAGTGCCAAGGAACATCCACTCCTTCTCCTTCTCCCCTGCCCCATGCTCACTAAATCTGTCATGCGATTTCCCCACTGCTTTGCCACAACCCTCATCCTTGGTCAATTGGTCCATGGAGGGGGCGGGCGGGAGGGGGAAGCACTGGTCTAGTGAAAAGATGGGAGTCAGTGACTAGAAATGCAGGCAGCAAGCAAAGTTTCTGCCTAAGCAAGCTGAAAGGTCCTTTCCATGCGAAACTATAAGGAGACGTGAGAGTCACCTGGGCCCCTGCAGAAGACCTTGGGCACAGGGGCTGTGTGCAGGTCTAAGAGCCCCACAATCTTCATGTGTCCATACTTCATGGCCAACATCCGTGCCGTCGCCCCAGTGCTATCGCGTACATCCACTCTCACACCCTGTTGGGAGGAAGCAGACATTATTAAATTTTGCCGACAGGAAAGGGGAGGGAGGCTTAAACAGATCCAAGGGGCTGTGTGGTCGAACCCAAGAGTGCATTTTCACATGCTGTGTCCCTGAAGAATCAACCAAAGGATTTGCACCACCAGCAAGGCTCTGCATACCCACCATCACCATCGCATTTGTGCTCTAGCCAACCTGGACTCCTTAGGGAGAACGGGCAGGGCATAAATTCAGTAAATAATTTAGCTTTGAACATTAAGCAGTTTTCAGGGCACAAAGTTAGAAATCTTTGCTTGCATTTGTGCTATACAAATGGCACCACTATGTGGTCAATGTATGAATTTCAGGCTTCAAGAACTCCAGCTGCTCTTTGGACAAGATATGGCTACGAGAAGCACCAGGCTGCATGCCAGCGAGTCGGGCTCCTGATCCCTTTTGAAGCACGAGAGCAGAGGCAAGTGGGATCTGCGACAAAATATTGCAGTGCATTCTCAATACTAAATCCAGGCTGTCTGGTGTGTTTTGAAAGATGGACACACAAGTTCATCCTAATGATGGAAAGTCAATGAACTATCTCCAGTACTGCTTGAAGTTTACTTGCAGGCAGTTACAGAATGTGGAGTGTCCACTTTTGGACGGATGTGTAACAGGCTATAGCATCCTCCCCTCTTCCTTGGATGTCTCTAGTGCAGCATTCCATCAACGATTAAAGGAAAAGGTCTGGGAGAAATGAGGAAGGTGTGTGGGTGGGGGGAGTGTATGACTTCCTAACCCAACACTGAACAAATGAACCCAGCCTATTAAAAACTAGTTTTATAGGCTGTGAAATCAAACACTTGAAAAAGCCTCCATGACAATTAAAAATACTATTTTTTAAAAAAATGGGTAGACAAGCATGTAGGCATGAGAATCACATAAAAATCCAAAGGTCTACACATGCTCTATATAAAGAAGCCTTTTCTGAAAAGACTTTTGTGTGCTGCAGCTGTTGGGGAGATATATACAAAAAAGGCTTTATTCTGTACATTTCACAGCTCTCAAATCCCATTGGGGAAAGGAAAGAAATGCGATAGATGCAACCCTTCCCTTTCAACCATCTTCACCCCACTTTTATCAACAGAAGAAAGGCCTACATGAACACCCTTGTTTGATTGACCCGACATATTCCCTCCCTCTAATAAGACATGTACAGGATGACTATGAAGAAGGTCTAGATGTGATGCTGAATGAAAGAGCTAGCATTTCAAGAGGCTGCTACAGAAAGTGCTATTCATGTTGAATGTGAATTAACTGCACAGAGTGATTCAGACTGGTTTCAAAAGCATGGTATCTCTCAAGAGGAGGAAAGAAGCGGACAATGTTTCTAATTAAGGCATCCTAAAAGAAATGTTATGCATGAAGGCAGATCAACGGGAGCATCCAGCACGGATCTAGGCGTGGGAACATGCTGAAGAAGCTGCATGGATGTGAAGCTTCTCTGATTTCCCCTCCTGTGGCAATAATCAAGAGCAATCATTGAAAGAAATAGCCTCGAATCAAGATTTAGCTTTCTTAATATAGTGGCTTATCAAATTGGCGGTATTTCTGCATACTGGGAAGCACAATTGGTTGCGGAGAAGGGAAACCAAAGGTGCCTTGGACCACCTGAGAAATGAACACTCACTTACATGATTGAGAAGATACTGGACAATGATCTCATGGCCAGATGCAGCTGCTTCCATCAGAGGAGTATATCCATAAAGGGGCTCCCTGGACAACAGAAATATATAGCCCATGAAAGGCTCAAGTCAGAAAACGGGGCAGTCATCAACGCAACGGGGGCATGCTAGTCATCCACAGCTAGAGGAAGCAGGGAGAAAAGTACCAAGGGCAGGCAACCCTAGAGGCATAGATCTTGGGACTCCTTGGTTTTCACACCACATTCCAGGTTGAATAAATAAAGCGACCTTACACAGAATCAGACCACCAGTCCACTGAGCATAGTAATGCTGACCCTGAGAAGCGGTGCTCTTCAAGGGGTTGGGGTTGGCCTTTGCCAATGGCTCTGCTGGCCTCCAGCTAAGGGGCTGAACCTGGGATGTTCCACCTGCAGAGCAGGTTCCATACTACTGAGCCATGGCTCCACCTGTTGGCTGTGTCAGGCTTGTTCTTGAATTGTGCTCTACATATTTTAAGCTCTATCTCCGGGATGGCGAGCCTGTGGCCCTCCAGGTGATGTTGGACTACAAATCCCACCATCCCTGAATGCTAACCTTGCTGGCTGGCCCTTATGGGAGTTTGAAGGGCCACAGGTTCCCCATCTCTGCTGAAAGCTATGGGCTACCAACTGAAGCGCCTGGCCCAATCCAATACTTTGAGAAGCCTTGCCACCCCTCATTCTCTTCTCATATTGACAGGAAACTTAGGCTGAGTTAATGGTGAGCGGCAAATGTGCCCCTAAGTTGTACCACCTCAAATTGCAGGTGGGGTCTCACATGCTTGAATACATTTCCATTCAAGAAAATGTCTTCCACACAAAATACTAGTGTGTTGAGAAGATGAGTTCTAGCTTGGTTTTCTCTCCGATATGCTAGGCCAGGAGAGCCATAGCTAATATTAAAAACAAAAAATAATCCTTTCGTATATGGAATGCCCACTATAGTGCTCTCTTAAAACATCAGCTGAAGAGAAAAACTGGGAACGATGCCAATACAGTCTGATGGTTTGTCTTCAAAACTAAATTACCAGTTACTGTGTCAGAAGTATGAACTTTTCCTGCTGGAGTTTCCACCCAATATGCTCCATGGAAGGAAATGGTTCTTTCTGGCAAAACAAACAAGCTGATGGCACTCTGGATTCTGAGACTGTTCCAGGAATATGGATCAAACCCACCTCAGAAAACACATTTTTGGTTATTGAGATGGAAGGAATACTGTAGAGAAAGCAACATGAGATTCATGTCCTAAGAGGAGAAGAAAGAGTCCACTGAGAGCTTTTTTTTAGTAGTCAGGGGGTGGCATTAAAGCCAGAAGAGAAAGTTTGAAAATGAGCCATCAAGGCAATAGGCAAGATAAAGAAGAGAAGAATCTCAGAAGAATGAATTGAGAGGTAAGATTTGATAAGGAAAGAGTAAAGAGAACCAAGTACTATTTTTTTTTTTTGTAGAAGTGAAAAGGAAAGAATGGAACCCCAACAACAGCATAGCATGCACAGATTCAGTCTTGCCACCAGGTCATCTCACTAGTCCCCGCGCAAGTTTGTGAAAATCTGCCCCTTGCAATATGTTCTCCACATCTGCCTATGCCCACAACTAAAAGTTGTTTGTACTTTTACCCTCTTCCAGAAGAAATAGCTATTACAAGCAAAACTGGTGGAATGTAAGATTTTAGATAAATATGTTTACTCTTGTTACTAATTATTTTTAAGAGAGCAGTCAGAAAATCTCTCCTCGATGCTCCATTTCTCTTACATCAAAAAGAATGGAAAATTCATCATCTGCCTAGAAAGTCTGAAGGCAAGGAGATCCGACTCGTCAGTTAGCCAGCCTGGGCCAAAATCTGAGCAAGATTTTATCTGAACCTATTTTAACCAATGTATTGCTTTAGGCGTAACTCCTCCTACCAATACATTTACCCCCTTCAATTCATGCACTGTGCTGGGGTTTTTTTTGCCCTACCTTCAAAGCAGGCAAAGTTTAGTTCAATTTATCCAAGTCAGGAGTTGTCAACCTTTTTGACAAATGCTTTGCTGATCAACCCCAAAGTACTGTTTTAGTGCCCACCTACAATGCAGCTTCTGTACCAGGGATGACTGGATGGGTGTTACCTCTAGTCTACTGAGCCAGGAAGGTGACAGGAATGTAGAAGAGGAAGGCAGGCCACACCTAATCTGTGTGCCAAAGGCCTTCCAGCTCCTGCCCAAGAGTGTTACAAACATTGGTGATCTGTATTATTTTATCATGCTTTTAATATTCTGTTGGGAGCCTCCCAGAGTGGCTCTGCCAGATGGGCAGGGTATGTATAAATAAATAAAAAAAGTATGTATGTATGTATGTATGTATAAATGTATGTATGTATAAATAATTAATAATAATAATAATAATAATAATAATAATGTCACATGCACATAAGAATAGGCTGCTGGATCAGGCCAGTGGCCCATCTCATCCTGCATCATGTTCTCACAGTGGCCAACCAGATGCCTATGGGAAGCTCACGAGCAGGAGCTGAGAACAATAAGTTTCCCCTCATGAGGTTTCCAGCCACTGGTACTCAGAAGCATACTGGAGATGTCCGTCACATACGGGACTCACGGCTTAACTACACACAATCTAGATGCAAGAGTACAGCAGTGTGACTGCCTATGTTTCCCCCTCTTTTGCATCTATCATGAAAGCATTTTTTCTATGAAAGCTAAGCTACTTCTTCCCCTTAAAATACCGTCAGATATTTGAAACAAACAAACAAAAAAGCAGGCCTTTCACAGGCCCATTTCTCTCTTACCTGCAATTCGCATTTGCTCCATTATCCAATAAGAACTTGACCATTTGCTGATGGCCAGCACTGGTGCAGTGGAAGAGGGCAGTCCAGCCATGGATATCCTTCATCTCCAACTCGGCACCTTGCTTCAAAGAAATACAGAGGGGCCGTTAAGGCAGGGCACCTACTGCCTGTGACACTGAAGCCAGGGTGCATTTCTGTACAAACAAGAGCTCACCATAATGAACAGAGGAGGAGATCGCTTATTTCAGGCAGAAATTTTACAACCAGGTTACTTTTAGCTTCTTAGTTCTATACCACTTTTCTATTATGCTAACAGCATAACCAGGTGAAAAGAGCAGCAACCCAGAGAAGGCTCTTCTCACAGCAATTTAATAGCAAACCACTTACAGTCGCAGAGTGTTCCCATTTTATTCTGGGTTATTGCATCAATTTTATTCACTGACTGACTGAATGCATTCAGAAAAATCATTCGAACAGGATCCTGCCCCTGCCCAATTCAGTGTGTGGGGTGAGTGGCAGGTGTGGAGGAGTGACTGGAAACAGCTCTAGCTCTCACACTCCACCAGATCTGACATGGCTGTGCCAGAGAGGGTGAGACTCGGCTGCCAGAGTCACCTGAAGATGCTGACTCAGCTCTGCTCCTGCATATCTGAAGAAAGCTGGGATGGGAAAGAGACGCCTCAGAGGCAGCAGAGAAAACCTAGATAAGATAAACTTAATGTGCAACCTGATAAAACAGAGGAATATTTGTAAAGTAAGGGCACAGCCCTGGACATTCGAAATACCCGGGGTGGAGGAGAATGGGTATATAAAACATATCACAGTAATGAAAACTTTACCACTGAACCTCACAGGAGTCTTAATGATGAGAAGGCACTCTAATCACTGCTATGAAGCAACAGCCTGTAACTTTGAGTAGACTCGAGACTTTGAAGGATCCTATCATGCTGCTGCACCCTACAGGGGTTATGAAAGAGGACAGCAAGCTTTATCTCACAGCCACTCATGGTGTCTGAGATTGCCACCCTTCTCCTTAGTCCCATAGAACTTAATGGGAGCCACTGACAACCACCCCTGAACAGCCCTGTTTGCACCTTTGGTTCCACCTCTTAGTCATGCGCGATATCTTTAGACTGCACAGTTGGTGCCTTTCGCAGCTATTGCCAAGTACACCCACCTGAAGGAGGAAGGCAGCAACGCTCTCATTTCCACAGCTAGAAGCCAGCATCAGTGGAGTCTGCCCTTCTGGTGTTGGTACATTCACATTCACGCCAGCCTCTAGCAGTATGCGCACAATGGTGTCATGACCGATGTAAGATGCATACATTAGTGGGGTCCAGCCGCCGCAATTCCGCTGATTCAGGTCTACCTCCCCACTGAAAGGCATGAATCAGATTAGTGTTCCATGGGTAGCTTATCACAGGCAAGTTACATAGTTTTTGAAGGTTTTCCTAACCTGGCCCGTTTCACTCAAGGAAACAAACAACTTTAGAAGTCTTGCCAATATTCCTGGTAGCAATGTGTGCCCCCACTTTGCCAGTAGCAAGTGAAAAGGTTGACAGTAGCATTCTTCTAAGCATTTTGGTCACACCATTTGCATGCCTTCCCCTAAAGAATCCTGGGAACTTTGCTTTAAGGGTGATGGGAATTATAGCTTTGTGAGGGGGGCTGAACTACAGTTCCCAGGATTCTTGGGGGAAGTTGCGACTGTTAAAATGGAATAAATGTGCTTTAACTGTAGGGCGTGTATATAATCAACTACTACCTTGTTTCAATGTTTTCTGGTAGCCTTTAGCCACCTTCATGTTTCACAAAATTATTTTGAATTGCACACATAGTGACAAAAGCCTGGTGTGTATGTACAACAGAATGAGGTGGTAGAATTGACTCTTTTTTTAGGCTGAAGGTGGGGTGGGATTTTGGAATAATCCCCTATGGATAAAAATCACATGGTGAACTAAAAAGTAGCTCATTGCGGGGAAAAGGTTATAATTCAGACTGCTCCCTGCTGTGCTCATTTTCTGCAGAGAAGGGCTGTAGCAGAATGCCTCGGCTCCCATTTCTGGCATCTCCAGGCAGGGCTGGAGAAATAGAGCTGAGTGTCATCAGCATACTGCTGACAACAGACTCCGAACCTCTGGATAACCCCAGCCAGTGGTTTCATGCAGATGTTAAGAGATAGGATTGAGCCCTGCAGAACCCCACATTGAAGGTTCCATGGGGCTGAAAAGCATTCCCCAAGCAACAACCTCTGGGGATGACCATCTAAGTAGGACTGGAACTACCGCAAAGTGGTGCCACCCACCCCTAGTTCGGACAGCCACTCCAGAAGGATACCATGGTCAATGGTATCGAAAGCCTCTGAGAGGTCGAGAAGAATTAACAGGGACATGTTTCCCTTGTCTCTCTCTTGACAGATGTCATCATACAGGACAACCAAAGCAGTTTCTGTGCCAAAACCGGGCCTAAAACCTGATTGAAATGGATCCAGAAAATCAGTTTCTTCCAAAAGCGTCTGGATCTGGTCTGCAATCACTTGCTCCAGAACCTTGCTCAGAAAAGGGAGATTAGCAACTGGCTGGTAGTTAGTTAGGTTTTCCGAATCCAGGGACAGTTTCTTAAGGAGTGGCTTTACCATTGTTTCCTTCAAACAGGTAAGGACCACCCCCTCTCGTAAAGAGGCATTGATCACCTCCCTGGCCCAGCCAGCTGTTCCCTCCCTGCTGGTTTTCATCAGCCAAGAGGGGCAAGGGTCTAGAGTACAAGTGGTCGCCCTGACTGATCGGAGCACCTTGTCCACAAGCCTTACCAACTGAAACTCATCCAACACAACAGGACTAGACTGTGCTCTGGACACCCCATGAGATTCATCTGCTATAACAGCAAAGTCTTGGTGAATGCAAGCAATCTTGTCCTCAAGATGCTTTGCAAACAAGTCACAGCGAGCTACTGTTGGTTCTATCACCTCCTTTGGGCCAGCCTGTAAAAGGCTCCGTAAAACCCAGAAAAGCTCTACCGGATGACGTAATGAGGCTGCAATGGAGGCAGCAAAGTATGGCTTCTTTGCTGCCGTCATTGCCATTAGGTAGGCTCGATAATGAGCCCTTATCAGTGTTCGGTTGCATTCATTCGGATCTTTCCTCCACTTGCGTTCAAGCAGTCTCCCAGCTTGTTTCCTCGCCCTAACCTCTGAAGTATACCAGGGGAACAAACGGGCATCACAAAGTGGGAGAGGGCACTCAGGGGTGATTGTGTCAATAGCCCAAGCCATTTGGGTGTTCCAGGGGTCAGCCAGGGCTTCGACAGGGGTGCCAGTCATATCAGCCGGAAAACCTCCCATAGCTGTTTGGAATCCCACTGGATCCACCAGCCTCTGAGGGCAGACCTTTTTAATAGGTCCCCCGCCTCTGCAAAGGGGAAAAGCTGCTGACAGTTTAAATCTCAACAGGAAGTGATCTGACCATGACAAAGGACTGATATCAATGCCCCCCCACCTTCAAATCACTCTCTTCCTGCCCAGTCAAGAAAACAAGGTCCAGAGTTTTGCTTGCCATGTGCTTTGAGCCGGTGACATGTTGGGACAGCCCCATGGTTGTCATTGCGACCATGAAGTCCTGAGCCGCCCCAGAGCCAGCTGCCTTGGCATGGACGTTGAAGTCTCCCAGAACCAGCAGTCTGGAAGTCCTCAACACTGTCTCCGAGACCAGCTCTGTCAGCTCAGGCAGGGAGACTGCTGGGCAGCAAGGCGGGCGGTAAAGTAGCAGAATCCCTAATCTGTCCTGATTGCCCAATGCCAGGAACACAGTATTATTCCCTTCCCAAACCTCTCCTCCTTACCGTTGAATATTCTCCTTTACCACCTCATACTGGCCAATTGAGGCTGCTGTGTGAAGGTCCAGTGGAACATCTAACTCTTGGCGACAGACCATCTGACCTGCGCCATGCCACATGGATAGGCTGAGATTCAGCAGATCCGACTCACTGGCTTCATCACTCAGCTCTGACATTGTGTCTTGGTGGGCTGAAAGACAAGCACGATCAGTTCTTCACTTTCACTACCTTGCTCAAAGGGTTTTTAATCATCTTGGGGTATGATCTGAAAGCTCCTGAAGTTGGGACCCTGGTGTACCCTACCTTAAGTTCAATGGGTGAAAAGGCAGTATACAAATAAACAAAATAAGGAAATCTCCTGTCTTTGTGCATTCTTCACAGGATTAGAGAACTATCTTCACTTACTAATGTCTAAATACCAATGTGCTGTTAAAGGCACAAAAGCAGAACGGATCCAATCACAAGACTCAAGGAAAACACATACAACCATGTACTGCAATTACTGGGAAACCTAGTCTTTTTGAAATGTCCTTGATAGGTTGACTGTTTTGCAGGTGAGACCTATTCACAGTGAAGGGAACCTAGAAGGTGACAAATGACCGCTCTGATACTTGGTTCAATTTGCTTTTTGTTCCTGAATGACAAAGAACTATACAGGCCATGAAACCTCATGCCTTAAACACTGGAAATCCCACACAGACAGACGAAAGGGTCCTTGATAACGTACCAGCTATCACCCACACTTTAGCCTCAAATCTGTAAGATTCTCATTTTAATTTCACAATTTTCACAAACACATCAATTTTATACCCATTATGTGGTACATTTTATGTTATTAAAACAGTAAAATAAGTTGCCTTGATGTGGCTTAGTTGTTGTATCACTCTTCGTAATCCACTCCAGGGACAACACATAGTACAGAACTGTAAATGCATATAAATAAATATTTCAGTCCCCCACCCCTCAGAGAGCTCTATTTTATTTTTGGGGGAAATGTTACATCTCTGAGCTGGAAACCCTCTAACAAGCTGGTTTTCTATGTGCAAGGAGTTCTTGTGTACAGAGCAGCACACAGCAAGAACAAGAAGACCAGGAACAAAACAATTCCCTGCACCCAAAAGATGAGCAAGAAGACCAGGCTATAACTGTTCTCTCTAGCAGAGTACCGTATTTTTTGCTCTATAAGACTCACTTTTTCCCTCCTAAAAAGTAAGGAGAAATGTGTGTGCGTCTTATGGAGCGAATGCAGGCTGCGCAGCTATCCCAGAAGCCAGAATAGCAAGAGGGATTGCTGCTTTCACTGCGTAGTGATCCCTCTTGCTGTTCTGGCTTCTGAGATTCAGAATATTTTTTTTCTTGTTTTCCTCCTCCAAAAACATGGTGCGTCTTGTGGTCTGGTGCGTCTTATAGAGCGAAAAATACGGTAATTCCTATGAGCCAGAATTGCTATGGCCGTTATTCTGTATGGAGGGCCAAACAGTGAAAACTAGAGCCAAAACCTACCTAACTCCCTGCAAGCGGAAAGCAAACATGTGAGTGCAAGAAAGATAGGGCCCAAACCTCCCTCCCGGGACACTAGCTCTATTTGTGCAGTCATCTTTGCTTTGCTCTGGTTGCTGCTCTTTTGTGTGGAGGAGCCCTCAGCCACGAGGCACCTCTGCCCTTGCAGTCTGCAGCCCAGGCATAAGGCGCGAAGGGCATTCTGCGCTGAGGGTGATGCCTCCAGGGCACAGCTGGGGGAATCTGTGTGCCCACCCCCAACCACTGGACTCCAACTCCCATCAGCCCCAGCCAGCAGGGCCAAAGGCCAAGGTTGATGGGAGTTGGAGTCCTGAGGTACCTGGGACGCTCACAGGGTCTCCCCGCCAGCCCGCAGCTCAGAGGCGCCCCTCACGCCTATGCCTCCAGGGTGCCCAGAGAACCAAGGCCCGGCCAGTGTACTGGGCTCCACCTAGTGAGGCAACGAGCACGCCAAAGGCCTCCTGCGCCCACAACCTCCTACGAGGCCCGCCTTCCACAACTTCCGTCTCCTCTGCTACCGTACAAGCCTCACCTGCTTCACCTCAGGTCGCCTCAGCCGCCCTCCCGGAAATGCCCGACAATGACGTCGCGGGCAGAGCGTCAGGACTGCCGGAAGGCCCCGCTCTCCCTCTCTCCCTCTCTCCCTCTCTCTCTCTCTGCACCACGTGATCATCACCCGCCTCCTGCTGGAAGCGGTGAGGTTGCTCAGCCAGCCAATGAAAAGCTAAGACTGTCGCGCTCCCCACCCGCAATACTCCTTCGCCGCGCCTTCCGAACGGATCAACCAATACAGGAATAGGTCCTGGCAGGGCAAAGAAAACGGAAAAAGCAGCGAGCGGAACGGAAAGGAATGATAGGAATGAGCTTGACACCGCTGTCTGTGTTTTCTCCAAATTCTTATTGCATATTTTTTGTTGCGATAAGTTTCTAAGAGAGGCAGTAATGGCTAAGCCCCAAAAATGTTAGTTTATATTAGCCTGTCAGGACTCCAGAAATGGGCGGGGAATCAGGGGCGGGGCGAACAACCGGGAAGCGCACGCCGTTTGAATAGAGACGGTGGGCAGAAGGGACGTTCATGACAGCTCTCGGGTAGGTCGCTTGCTAGGGACTGAGATACAATGAAAGGCGGTGGGGAAATGTCTTGGTGGTTTGTCCGCAACCGGTGTGCGGGGCAGGGAAGTCGCCGGGTAGGTCGCGAGCGAAGATCGGCGTCCGGTTGCTATGGAAACGGGAAAAAGCGGTACCCGCCGCCCTGCGGGGCGTGGCCAAGCGGTGCAACGTCGCCATGGTTACCAGCCTCCATCTTGCCTCTCCACCAATCCCATGCTTAGTTTTCCTGCTGTCAGCTTCATCGCGCGCTCGTCAGACTTTCCATTTTTAAATTGAAAATATAAAATTATACAAATATTAAGGAAATAAATCCGCAGTCCTGTTAAGAAGAAATCCTCCTTGATATCAGTGGGACTTACTCCCAGGTAAGGCTGCAGTCCTAAACCCACTTCCTTGGGAGTAAGCCCCACAGAATTCACTGTGACTTACTTCTGTGTAGACATGGTTAGGACTGCAAATATGTGCAAATATTTTTCAGGAGGTAAAAAGTAGAAAAGGAAAATATATGTCACTCTGATAGTTAACACAAACATTTAAATAAATATTATGTACAGCATCATCCATGCTTACCAAAAATATATATTCCTGGCCTAAATATATAGCAATGCTATAAGCAAGATTTTCTCCCTCAGCTTAATTCTGTGCCGCAAACATAAAAAAGGCATCAAATGTGCCACAAATGTTTAGTGGGCATTCCTTTTGCCTTCCAATAAATTTCAATTTATAATATATGTATCTGTTTATTTAATATACATCTTGTCTTGCCTTTTTTCAGGCAACATATCTCCAAGGCAGCTTATGATAATAATAATAATAAACTATTGTGTGTTTTATTTTAAGTATAAATATATAAGTAGGTGGAGCTGCAACAACTGCTTTTTCAAGGTTCCATAAAGGCCATATAGCGCAGCCATGCTGGCTGATGCGAGTTTTGGTTCAAAACATTTCGAACGCATTACCAGGTCAGTAAAGTTTAACACAAGGAGATAGCCTCATGATTTCGTCCCTGCGACTGGATCACCTCCTGTTCTTAATGGCTGTTTAGGTGGTACAGTCCAAACAACAGACTACATCACTATGCTGTGGTGCTAGCCCAGAATACCAGTATTTCATCATTCCTAACAATTGTTCATGCTTGCTGGGGCCAATGGGAGTTGTACTTTAGCAACATCTGGAGGGCCAAAGGTTCCCCACTCCTGTTGTAGACCTCTGGCCCTCTAGATGTCCCCAATCCACCTCAGCTAGTGTGAATGATTGTTAAGGGTGATGGAAATTGTAGTTCAATAACATCTGGAGGGCCACACATTCTCCATCCTCAATGTAGACATTCCTACCCTGTGTTTAGTCTACTCTGCTCTTTCTTTAGTACCAGCATCTGAAATTCAGCTTAGGTCACATAGGATCACTTCAAATGGCATCAGAGGATCAAAACACAGAAAAAGAGGGGGGTCCTAACCTTCCAACAGCTCCTTTCCAGTGGGGAGCCATCCTGTCTGCAGTGAAAGATCAGATTCCTTCAATGGATTCTGACACCTTAGTGGTAAGTGCCATTCCCCATTTTCTGTTCTTTCAATCTCAAACCATCTGTATTAGCCATCCAAGATACAAATACTAGCAAAATTTGCAGGAAGACAGTCTTCAGCTCAAAATATCTTGCCTACGTAGAGTCAAAATTTAAGGAGTTGATTTTATAAACCCCGAAAAAACAGTTTTTTTGCCTATGACATGTTGTGATAATTTAAATTGTATCTTGATAATTGTGGGATTTTTTTTAAACATACACATAATTAATCTATTGTTAATCCTATGGAGTACACTGCAGTATTTATCATGAACTCTGTTCAGTTCCATTGTATTGTTCCATATTTTCAGTTGCATAAATTTTGACATTATTTACTTCCAATAAAGTGTGCTTGAAGTTCACAACTTTATGTAGTGCAGCTAGTGTGAGATGCCCAGCGGTGAGTGTAGTTGAGTATCCACACTTACTTCCTTTCCCATCTTTTCTGCCTTGGAATGAATGTCACCCAGTTTCTTTTCTCTGTTTGATAGTCTGATTGCAATGAAGATGATGGGGAGCTTTTCATCTTCCAGCGTGATCAATCCAACCTGGTTCCTGACTTCTCGGAGGAACTAGAAGACCTTCCTCCAGAAGAAGCACACTTGCAGGTCATTGGTCCTACCTATCATCACTGGGTTCCAGTAGGGTAATGCCTGTATTAAGACCAACAATATTTATTTGTTTATTTCATTTATGAATTACTCCCCATGAGACATCCTGAAGTGATTTATGGTATAGAACATATATAAAACACTTGCAAGTATAGTTACAAGTATTGCATAAATAAAAACTTCTTTTTTTACAAAATACATATAAATATGAAAACAACAGCAGCACATACATAAAATCAATTCAAATCCAAAAGAGACGTCTTCTGGGATAAAGAAGGCACAAAGGCACCAGTAACAAAGCTCTTATATAATGACCAGCATGAAAGGAACTGAGAAGTGGAGCTGGTTTCTCAGCAAAGCTGATGAGGTGGACCCTTCTTCGCATCACTTCCTCTGCTGTAGCCATCTGAAATGGCAGCTAAAAATGACTGTGTGTGTGTGTACACAGGAAGCTGGTCTCTCAGCAGTCCCCACCACAATGGCAAACAGGACCATAGAAAGCTACCTTATACAGAGACAGATCATTGGTTTATCTAACTGAGTATTACCAGTAGGGAAGAGTTGGCCAGTATTTCTCTCCTAGCCTTACTTGGAGATGCTGGGGATTGAGTCTGGACCTTCTGCATGCAAGGCAGATGCTCTACCACTGAGCTACATTTTTCTGGTTTTTAATGGTTATCATTGGCGGGACCCAACAAGTAATTCTCACAAGCCACCATGTTTGAATTCACAAGTTGCTCATTCGGTCTTTATAATTTTGAATACCTGTTCTTCACATACTTAGTATTGTTTACCAAGATGTAACTGGTATCTTTCTTGTACTTATAGAAAACATTTGAGTTTATGAGACATCCAAGAGAGACCTGGAATGAAGATGGAGAAGGTTCCGCTTTTCAGAAAGACAAGAGTCCTAGGGGACATGTGTTACTAGACAGGGACGGATTTGGTCTTGTGACTGAAGAAAAGTCAAACCAAGAGGCCATTGCTCCTTCAGTGTCGTCTATAAATGAGAATAAACCTGGAGGGGGAATCTCAGGGGTCACCAGAGACCAAGAACAAGATATCAGGGAAAATAAGGGGAGACTGAGCTCTTCACCTGATATGTTACCATCTGTGGAAGTGTCACCTTTTTTTATGCTAAACACCAGTGAAAAAGAACGGAGAAAACTAATAGAAACTAAAATTCTCTCCAAGGCGACATTGGGACCCCCTTCTGGAGAACTAGGTCATCCCCAGCCAAAAAACAATAACAACAATTTAGAAATTGCAGAACAGGAGCCAGGAGCTATTTCAGCCGAACACCCCCGAGAGCTGATGCTGTTTGCCTTCAAGGTACACATAATAATATGGGTCTCTATTCTTCTTCAGAAAAGCCTCTCTGTATTCTCTGTTCTTTGTTGTCTGTGGAAGTTGAAGGTCTAAGCATGCAGAATATTATCTGATCTTGTTAAGCTGAATGTTAATTTTACTGGTAGATAAAGGGTAGGAATTTGCATTTGTTTTTAAGAGAGCTCAAGGTGGTACAAGAGACTCATTTTTGTGAGCACACTCATCACATTATAGTTTTTCTATTAAAGGGGTCCTTCAAGTCTTTCTAGTGTGTCTATTGGGACAGAAAAAAATACTCAGTACAGATGACAATGACTGCCATGTTGGCTGTTTGGCTAAGGATGTCAGAGAATCCCAATGGAACCAGACATGGGAGTGGAAATTGTCATTGTTTGCTTATTTGTCCCATGTACAGAAATCAGTATTATCCACTGTTGTTGTTTTCAGTCTGCAAATGATATTTAATTGATATCTCCCCACAACCATCACCATTTGCATTGTGTCTGCTTTGTATTGAAATGAATGGTGTGGAATAATGTAACTAATTATGTCAAATTGCACTACAATGAAGAGCAAGCCAAACAACATAGTTTTCATTCAAAGCAGAAATGCAGCAGAACGGTAACAGTGCTGCATGCGATGAACACGGGTCAGAATGGAAATCAATGCCTTCTCACAATCCTAGCTGTGGCTTAATCCCTTCCAAAGTCCATCAGCTCTGGCCAACTGACAAGGCCAGTACCAAGAGTAGGGTCTATTGGTCAATTTCAGATGTGCTCGTTCTTAAATCCATTCCATCCTATTTCTGTGTTAATCTGTGATCATTAATTTTTTAATCCACACAGATCTTTTAAAATTTAAGTACATATTTCAATGCATATTTTATGGCAAAATTGTATTTGAATATGTATTGCATATTAATGTTTGCATTTATAAATGCATTTTATCCTGAGATGAACATTTAAACACATTTTGGTGGTTTTGAGGAGAGCAAAATCTGGAGATCTGTGAAATCCGAATGGTAATTAGGTTCTGATACGCTCATTACTTTGAGAGTTGCAAGGGAGGTCTGCAAATGGAATTAAATTCCTCAAGCATCCCTAACCAAGAGCAGACACTAAAATAAGGTAGCCTGATTACGATGCTGGTGTTACCAACTGCAAATCTGATGTGACAGTGTCAGAAGGAAACATTGGAGAAGATAATTTATTTTAGTCCCCTAAAAAGAAAGCAACTAATAAAACCATGTCACAGAGACAGTCCCCTAGCCCTGCTATACGAGTCTGGCAACAAGTTACTTCTCTTGTGTAAAAGGGGTTATTCTTGAAGAGAGTGCAAAGTTAGCCTGCTTCTTGAATTACCTTCAGCTATCTGCAGGGGGGTGGGGAATGACCTATCCCTGGTCCAAAGGTGCTGTGTTGGCTACTTGTAGGCTACTTACTTTGAGGTTTTTGTGGTGTTCATTTTCTTGTGAAACCCAACCTAGGAAGGCCATAGTTTTGGAACTGTTGCATTATACATGCCTTACGCTTAACGTTTTTATCACCCCCCCCCAAGAAAGTCTAATTTCTCTCGTAAGACTTCCTCTTGAGATTTTATACGCTGAAGAAATAAATCTTAGGTAATTTGTTCTGAATTTTTTTTTAAAGCATTGTGGGTATTTTATGCCAGCTGTGAAAGTGGTAAGATTTCTGCCACTGCTGGAAGTCTAATTTAGCCACCTTCTTGGATTGCTTCATTCATTTCACCAGACAAGGAGTGCCATTATCAAATGCATCCCTGCCAATAAAGCCCCAACCCTGTGCCAGTAAAAGAAAACCCAACCACATTAGGGAGAAAGGATCTAGCCCTACCTGCTCCTTGTTATACTAGTTTTCCAGATAGTGGTGCGTCCATCCTGTTACCTCTGGAGTCCCCCCACTTCATGCCACTGTATTCATAGCTATTGCCTTGGAAAGGGGAACCGTTGGCCCTCCAGAAGTTGATGGACTCAGGCACTCATCATTCCCAGCCAGCATAGCCCATGGGAGCTGGAATCCAACAGCATCTGAAAGGCCACTGATGCCCCCATCTCTGCTCTAGCCCTAGCAAATCTGTGGCTGAAGTGAGATTTGAACTGGGGAGCGTCCGTCTCAGAGCTCATAATCCTAGCCACTGTACTGATGTATTTCAGCATTTGACAGCGTTCCCCAACCTAGTTTCCTCCATGTGTTTTGGATCTCCCATCATCCCTGCTCATTGGGCCTGCTGTCAGGAGCAGTTGGAAGAACACCAGATTAGGGAAGTCTGCCATATGCAATAACTGTGTAATTGGATATCACGGTTGGGGAAGCTTAGGCCAAGGGGCCAAATGCAGCCCCTCAGCCCCCCCCCTGCAGCCATGCTCCTTACCAATGCTGCTTCATACTGGACTTTGATAATGACACTGGCTTGTCTGGATGGAGGATCAAGAGGGTCGTGTGACTGTGTTTAGAAACTAGTCTACTGTACAAAGGTAAAGCTAACATCCATTGTTCTCCCCACTTTTGCCTCTGACCCTTCACCATTGGCAGGTGGCCCCTAGATGGTTGCCCAGGAGGGAATGTGGCCCTTGGGCTGAAAAGGTTTTGCCCACCCTTGCTTCTGAGTAAACATACAGGATTGCACTAGCTGTATTTGTTCATCTCCTCTGACAAAGTTCTGGGATCCAATGCGGTTTCTGTTGTCCTACTTTCTCCATCTCCTACTCTCTCCCAGGAGAGACAACGCTTGTTTCAGCCAGTAAATCTTTCTCGTCTTTGCCAAACCACGGTTAGTTAGCTCCAGTCTTACATTACAAATTAAATCGAAGGATCTGGCGACTGCCAAAAGCAAAATCTGCCCTGTTAGAGAAGCGCTAATCAGAGCTCCTTCACTCCTTTGAGGTTTATCATCCAGGAAACAGTGAAGAGAGCTCTTTTGAGATGGCGTGACAGACAAAGGGGATTATTACAATGGAAAATGCATTAGCTTTCAGCACTGAGACTGTTTGGATCAGAATGAAAGGATTGAATTTACATGTTTGTTGTAACTGTGATGCTAGTGAGATGTAATTGGCAGTCTTGTGTCGTCTTCAGAATGATATAGCAAATGCTATTATGGTCTGCCCTGAAACTGTCAGATTATAACAGAGATCCACAGCTCTAGTGTGGGAAAAAATAACAGCAACAACATCACACTCGTAAGAGTTCATATTATGAAAAACATGCTGTTCCTATTACCTTTTTCCACATGTGATTTGAGAACAAATATACAGAAACATAGCTGACGCCCCGTTGAGCAGCCTGGCAGCCTAGTTCAGATGAATAGGGCTTTATCTTTTCCGCAGGACAATCAGAAAGTGCCTTTTTCTTCTGTTTTAAAAGTTACAATACAAAAATGCAATTGAATCAGCCATAACACTGCTCATTGCTGTAGAGAAGAGCTGAAACCATGCTTAGATTCCGGCTTCAGATTGTCTATTACGAAAGAGCCATGATTAACTCTCAGCTGCCATAAATGGCACTTTCAATTTAACCGTTGTCTGCAGTTAAGCCTGGCAGGGGAATCAGCCATCTAAAGGGAGCAGGTAGGCAAGTTTCAGATCCTGGGTTATGTGGGAACCTGGGTTACTTAGTCCTAAGGACGATTAACACCACCACCAATGTAACAATTAAATGCAGTTGAATCCTCTAGGGACAATTTGTCCTCCAAAGTAAGGGATGGGAGAAAGAATGTGTAGTCCATACGGCCTGAGCTGGAGCAACCTGGAGCATCTATACATCAAGTAGGCTGGGGGAGAACAATAGGTCAGAATACCTAGTTCCTCCCAGAGTGAGGGGAAGTGAACATAGCTAAGCCTGGCAGAACAGCATACTCTATGGTTTTAAGCCCTTCATGCGTTAATTAGACCTAAGCATGTTAGTTATAGGTGGCTGATTATCTCACAATTCACACCCTGCCAAATAATACACAAATGGAACCACAGCCATCCTTTGAAATAATAACTTTTCCATATTTTGTAGTGCAATTCTCCAGCCAATCAAAGTATATAAAAATGAATATACTGGTATAAAGTGTGCATTGAACTGCATCACTGAAAATAACAAAAATGTATTATATTAAGGGAAATTGCTTGCAAAGATGTGTGTATACATCAGAATTGAATGCAATAATGTATTATTAGAAGAAATTAGGATAAAGCCAACAGCCTTTCAAACTTAAACTTTATGGTGGCCCCATTCAACTGCAAACTGTTCTCCTTTCAGGACATTGAGAAGTGGAATCTAGACAAGGTACTACAGGACCTGGAGAAGCAAGGTGGCGATAGAAATTGT